GTATTATGCCAGTTTGACAACAGTGCTGCTGCACCAAAACAGAGATGGCTCTTCACACTTTGATGTGCCAGCAACATCCAAAACAGGTCGGGCCATTCCAGAGGAACGGATTTATAGAAAAGTTACACGTCATAGCCACATCACACTCCTCTAGGAGTTGCACTGACTTCTTGTGGAATGTCACATCGCAAGTAGTTGCCAAGGCCAGCCCATTAAAGCCCTTCAAAAGCCTCTGCATTAACCACCTGGTACAGAAGTGATATCGTGACAGAAGTTGCATGCCCATATCATTCGAAAGGACTTGGATGACTGCCTAAAAATCAAGATGTCTATGTGACTTTTTGCACGGGCAAAATATTCAGGGCAAAGTACAAAGCCCTGGCATCCAGAGGTACGTGATTTTCTCTCACATCGTAGTATGGATCAATTTATAAGGAGATACAAAATGTAACAGATAGAGATGGATACCTTGTTTCTATGGTAGCAATAAGACACATCATACTAAAGATGATGTCAGCACCACATCCTGTTTGGTTTTGATTGCTTTAGGACATCAAGTTGTTTATACAGTTGTATAATACCTGCAGGAGAACCCCAGAGCAGTGGCTGGGAAATAACTGCCCTGTTGTTCATGCAGTCCCTGATTTTCTGGAGTTCACAGACAGCAGCAATGACTAGAACATCTATTCAGGTGACCCAGCACTTTCAATTACATCAATACTAAACACAACAAATTGTCTTAGTGCAACCAGAGTAAGCTGGGAGAAGGTCATAGTCAGCAGTAAGGAAAGACTGCGCAAAATCTCAGGATGGCGAGAAACTAAATTAGGTAATATATTCTCATATAAGCCTAGCAAAGGGTTTTTGAGGTACACATCACCAATGGTAAAGCGAACTTATGCAGAGAGAAAAAAAATGCACAACCCTTCACAAATTTATCTTCAGAATCAGTTCCTTCCAAGTGGAGAGTTGAAGGTCAATTTGACATTGTAGGCAACTAAGACATAGCAACCAAACTTCTGAGAAAGATGGTAGTGTCCCTGAATACTGTCTTCTCCCAGCAGTGTCCCAGGTATAGCCATGATTATTCCAGATTCTCCAAGGGAAATATGAAAACAAAAATATTCACAGCCCTGAATCAAGTACAGTCTTCCAAGCAAGTGAGGTACTGGCTAGACTATTTGCTGTTCAGGGCTGGAACTCTCTGACAATAAATACCAACTAGACTTGAAAAGTTTCCCAAGAAAAGCATTGGGTAAAAACTCCAGACCAGCTCCCTCTCTCGGTACCAGAACTGTAGTAGTTCTGTGTGGTTTGGGATGCCTTATGCCTGAGGAAGCACCTCTTCAGCAAACAGTCATATGTGGGGTCTTAAAGTTCACAGTAAAAACATCCTAAAAGAAGGCAGTCATCCAGACTGGCTACTCAAGCCCCACCCCTTCAAAATCCAAGCGTAAAAATCTACGATTTCATGCTTTTCTAAAAGTGCAATCCTGCCATTGCAAGCTCCTGACAAATCCAAATTCCAGTAACAGAAGAACCTCCTTTAGTTACAAGGCAAGCAAAAGTGGAAAAATCCTTTCAAAGTACCCCAGTAGAAACAGCAAATGCCTCATTGCTTCATGTTTTGGGTCTAAATTGCTTTGCGGAAGGAGCATGTTTTTCAATAACTGAAAACTCCTGCTGCTTCTCAATTTCTGGGAGAAGTCCCCAGATCAGTGTTCACTCTCACATTATTGTAAATAGAGATTACACTTTTTAAGTCAGTTTGTAAAACAAGGGTCTAATTGATTATGAACTAAACCAGCAAATGACTAGCACATGAAAATTTCTGCAGGCAGTGGGTGCCATTGTAACTTTGCCAAGTCACAACACTTTCCTGTGCCTCAGTTTCTGCATCAGGGTATAAAGGAACTGAACTTCATTTAGTAATTTCTAGTTGACATGCACTGCAGAAATAAAAAAAAAAAAAATATATGAATAATTTAGTTGAATGTGAGATTTAGGGGGAAAAAAAAAAAAAGAACAAAAAAACTGCTTCCACTTTACATCATCAGATCTCCTTTGCTGTAAAGGCTACAAGGTGATACTGAGACTGTGTCAGAAACCAAAATAGGCCTTTCCCCTTAGAAGCAATGAACAGAACGGGGACCTCACTGCACCAGTGGAGAACTGTCAAAATGACGGATTACTCTATTTCAGTGACCACACAAAGTTGCTCAAGACAATCAAAATTAAACATTCTGCAAATATGTCCTTTACAGTTGCTGGTGCTTCTCCTCATAGAGAAGAGAAGCACTGTTATTTTTTTTATTTTTTTGCTATGTTACAGCATACCATTACCAGATTTCCCATGATGAAGAGAAACAGCTAATAAAACCAAGATACATCATTCTTAAATCAAAATCACACTGTCTAGTATTGCTACCTCCTTGTCTATCAATGTCTATGTTATAGCTCATGTCTCCCCTTACAAGCTTCAGCACAAACCAGAAACTTATCTTTTCACAAGATCCTTTCACACCCATAAAAATCCTTTACAGAATATTCAAGGCTTACCACCCTCAGCATGTCTATACTAGGGGCATAATTCTGCTCTCACATACAGCTCCCTTGATTGCCTTTAATACTAGTTCTGCTGCCCCTCCTTAAGGGAGAGAATTTACCAATAGATACATCAAGTAGAAGAAAACAGTTAAAAGGTATGAAAGGACTCTCTTCAGGAATGTCCACATCAAATTTTCCCAGTATATTTCATCAGCAAAAGTGGTCAGTGGTTTATTTCATCAATACTTTAAGAACAATGACCAATTTCAGCTTCCTTAGATCCAGCACATGGGATTTTATTATCTGCTTTCTGTATAATTTAGTTGTCTGAAAGCACATACTGATGTGATGTTCATTAGTTGCAACAGTTGCTGCTCCTAAGCCTACGGGCTGTTCTGATTGTGTGCCTCACTGCCAGGCACATCCTTTTGCCTTCCAATTGACATGGTTATACTTGCCTGGAAAAGACAACATACATATGTGTGTATATATATATATACACACACCTAAAGACACTTAAATTATATGTTGTGTTTGCCAATCACTCCAGATTTGAATCTTAAGAGGACAAAACCAGCTTTTCCCTAATAGAAAATGGCATTAATAGTCAGGCACTTTCTTTACTTCCCTGCAACAACTGCAAACTTCTGGATGACTGCTTTGGGTTGTACACTGCTATTGCTCACCCAGATGCTGACCCAGTGTGGAAAAACAGGTTAAAAAAAAAAAAAAAAACAAACAAACAAAACAAAACAAAAACAAACAAACAAACAAACAAGCAAACAAACAAAAAAAACAACAAACTTTAATAGGAGCTGAAGGAACATGATAAACTTAGTAATCCATTTTCTCCCTTTTCTGACATTCTCTAACCCAAAACAGGCTCAGCACTACCTAAACCATTTGTCACTGATACCTGCCTAAGAACTAACAATGGAAGCATCTTTCAGCTTTATTTCAAAGCTAAACTGCAAGAGTAGAAGAAACACAAAATAGTTGTCACTACTGAATTTCTAGTCTAATGTTCAGATTGGCCTAACGTAACCTTTAGAAAATGCAAGCCAACGCCATTGCTACACCCAAAGTTCCTTGTACTTCCTATTGGAAGCAGTACACCTTTTCCTCAGCTCGACGAGGACGTGAAGCCATTAGAGATACAGGAAGAGATTCTTGTTATAGTTCCCACTTCCAAAAGGAAAAAGGTGTTTTATGATAAGTCCGTGCTTTTTGAGGGAATCTATGAATTTTCTGTGGACATGAGAGAGATATACATTCTTGGTGCTCATGTATAACCTCAAGTCGCTTTGGGCCATGTTCAAATCCTTTACTACAGATGTTACTTAGGACTTTGTAAGTCCTCTGTCTCTTGATCACATGCAGGGCTAGGGTCTGCACCCTGAGTAGCAGGCACTCTGAATCATGCACAGCATTCCTAGCCTGAGAAACTATCTGAGCCACAATGGCTACAATAGGCACGCACAGAAAGCAGCAGGAATAAAGCTCTTGTATTCTTGGCATCTTGATTCTTATCTCACCTGTGAAACAGAGAAAATAATGCCCTTCAGTATCTTATAGCCAGGTTACAAGAATAACTGCATTAAATCCTGTGAGGCACTTGTCTATCGCAATATTATGGACCTCCCTCAGAGCCAGCTATGTGGTAACGTGACAACAAAACTGTTCTGCAGTAAGGAAGATTCACATGCATAGGAAACTACTCTTTTTTAGCTGTAGAACTTCCTGCAAACAGAAATAAGGGATCACTTAACTTATCATTGTGTGGATAGCTTTGTCCTTAAAAGCAGCCTTCCCTTCTGTAACTAGTTTTCACATATGGGCACCAAAGATCTGTGAGTGCATGCATTTCTTGCAGATCTTTGTGTTCTTATACTCCTCTTCAGATGGTGGGATGAGAATAGCTGCCTTCACACTTGACAGAAGCCAAAGATAACGTGACTGAAAAAAAAGGCAAATTCTCATAAGGGTTTTGAGTCAGAATACTGACTAGAAGAAGAGTCTTTGACTCCTGGCAGAAAAAAAAAAACAGCATTCACTGTTTCTTACCCCATTCACGGAAACAGGTCTGCCTTCACATGCTTGGAACACTCTGTGTGTACATTCCCAGTAAACAGGACTGCCACAAAGAAATCCCTGCTCTGCCTCAGCACTTCCTCCTGAATAAACACAGAATTTGGAGTGCTGGTGAAGCATTTGGGTCGAGAGAGGTACCAACCTTAAAACTTATATAGTGTGAACTTTGGCAGCGAGTTACACTAGCTCAATAAACCAGCCTGCAGGGGGAAAAGCAAAGGAAAGCAAAGCAAAACAAAACAAACAAACAAACAAAAAAAAAAAAAAAACAAAAAACAAAAAACAAAAAAAAAAAAAACAAACCAAAAACCTTCTTCTGCCTTTTTCCAAAGTCTGTTCTGGAAAAGAATAAAATAAAACCCAAGGGAAATCACATGCCTATCCTGCCCTTGCTTTTGCTGGCTTTCCCAGTTGTTACCAGATAAATTTCCAAGCAGTAGCGTAAAAGAATTCTGTGCATAGCCTGCAGAAAAATCTATAAATTGGGGTGTTTTCAAGCAAGAAGTTGTTCCCATATATTGCAGCCAAAAGCTGCCAGCACTCTGAGCCACAGGGTTTCACTAGGTTTGCACCTCTCCAACTTCACGCTCCTTCTGAGAGCACAGCAGCCAAACAACCTAGGGGAGGATTTCAGGAAAGCTAGAGGAAACTTCGGGGAAGCTGCAGCAGAGCGGAGCTTGTGCTGCTGGCAGGCTCGGAGCGCCCAGCCCTGGCTGCCGCTGCGATGCGAGCCCTCCTCCCGCTGCCGCTCGGGAGCGTTTGCCTGGAGCTGGGAACCGCACACGGCTGAGCTCAGAAGTTTGGGCATGGCTCTGAGGAGACTGAGAAGCTGGAGAACCCAGACTCCCACAGACCGGAGTGCTGACGCACGTCCTAGGAGCCTTCTATTTCCCAGAGCCTTCATCTGCGCTAGGGACAGAGCAGGCACAGCTCAAAGACACTCACACCTGAAAGGATCTCATTTTGGATTCTGCTGCTGTTAACAGAGCTCTACAGACCTGCTCATATCCACAGAGGGGAAAAAAAAAAAAAAAAAAAAAAAAAAAAAAAAGAGGAAAATTCTTCGAAACAGCAAGATACTTTTCAAGAAGGGGAGTGGAAGGAGGCAGTTTTTCCCCTCCTTCCCTGTTTGGGAGAAAGGAGTTGCCCAACCTGGTCATGAGACTTTTCCATACTTCCCAAAACAGGCTCCTGAAGTTCTGACACTGCTCCACTGAGAGCCTGGGGTAGCGTAGTCCAGAACAACCCCCCAGCAGCACACCCTGCGTGCAGGCAGCCTGGTAGGCACAGGAGATGGAGAATGAGGTTGGCAAATCCGTGGACAATCAAATGGACAAATACATGTAATAATTCAGAAGTTTTCTTTATCTATCCTGGCTTTTATTCTGCTTCCTTTTTCTCCCTGATTTGTCATGCATTTATCCCTATGTTGATTTAGCTGCGTTGTTAATTCTTTCTTACCCTCCCCTCCTCAATTTAGAGTTACAATAATGGGGAAATCAGAAAGTCAAATGGATATTGTGGAAAAATCAACAAAATCTGGGAAGAAATCCGGGAGCTTTGTGGCAATTGGTCTGGCTGTCTTGCTGCTCCTCATGACTTGTGCAGTGGTCGCCCTGGTGATCCTGTATGCCAGCAGCAGAGGTAAGGAACCTGTGAATAATTCTCTTCTTCCCTCTGCAAACAGACAAGTCTTTTTGCAGAGGTACATGAAAAAAAAAAAGAATTACAGGGAGAGAGTGAAGTCACCTCTATGAGGGACTTTGCTGTCTCTGCCTTCTTCCAAGTTCATGCATAGACAGAATTGTTGGATTTTTATTTCATTTTTAAATTATGTCATGTAAGATTCTGTGTTTTTAAATAATTCTATGCATTTTATTGAATTCAGCACTGTTTTAACAAAGGTAAAAAAATATTGCACTATCTTGGAGGGGAAGGTGTGTGTCTGTGACTGTGTGTAAGGCTTGACATTTCCGCCTGAGTCAAGATTTATTATTGCCAGGACCTATAAAGAAACAGCTGCTTAGCAGATCTAAAGGGATGTTGCTTGCTACAACAACAAAAACCAACAAACAGACTGTGCTGCTAAGGAAAGGGAGACTTCTAATATTACATCAGGCAATTTGCTCTCACCTTCCCTAGAAGGTGAGATTCGGTTCAGTGACTTTCATGCAAGTGTTTTACTAGGAACCTGACAATAAGGCATGCTACTTTGAGGTGCTTTGCCTAATATGTTAGCTGCAGAGTATGCTTACTCTCAAAACTAAGTTTTTCCAGTAGCACACCAAATACAAAGTCCCATTTAAAAATTCTGTGAAGCAATCAACATGATTGGTAGCAGCACCTGCCTCATGTTTGTCATTCCCATGAATGCGCCTCTGATTCAGAGCTAAACATGAGAGAATAAGAAGTATAACTAGTAAAACTGAAGGAAGGCATTGCTTTCTCCTTACATTGTCTGTGCATCCCCTGCATGCAGTGAACTGCTTTCTTCAGCGCTTGTAAAATACTGCACAATTCTGAGTAATAATTAATGAGGAAAGCCTCTTCACTGTTCACTTCTTTTGCTATCAGCAATTGAATGTTACCAGCATTTGTTCCAGTGTTAAATGAAACCTCTGAGTATTTGGTATTCATAATACTCATCAGAAAGGTGCTTAAATTTATTCTGTTAGCTCAGAGACAGCAGGAAAGAAATTCTCCAGAGCTACATCCCAGGGTAGGAGTTTCTGAATCAAAATATTGAGCTATGCAGAATTTTGTTGCTTGCTTGCATGCATAAAGTATTTGAGAAATTTGCTCTGTGTCTTGCTTCTTGCGTTCAGGCAAATCAGAATTCAGGTATTAATAATATTTGCCCAAATGTTGGTGTCTCATCCAAATCCATGGGAAGAGTCTGTGTCTGTAAATCAAGTGCTATTACATTTCTGTGATGGAAGGCTTATCTGTGAGAAAGCAGTTCCAAAACCTGAATATTTTGCAGGCTCATATCAGCAATTAAACTTCACTTGGAAACGTGTCCCAGATTCAGACATTCCTGAGCAAAATGTGAGTGCAAGGTGATTGCAGAGCTGCTATGCTGCTTGTCCTGCGCAGCGTGCAGCTCCTCCCGGCTCTTTTCTCATGCCTTAAAGGAGTGTTTCCAGCACTGACCTAGAGCTGATTTCTGCTTCTCTGTTTCAATTTGAGGGTACATAGTTGAACCACTGCAATAGGTAACACCGAGATGTAGCCATACCCTAGACTAGCCACGAGCTTTAGGTAATTCACAGGTAGGAATTGAGTAGCAGGAACCTCAGTCTACACCATGTTTTAGAAGAGTGCCTATATGCACTATTTGGGACTAAAACTGAGAAAGCAAGAGCTCTTCAGTGCAACCAGTGAATGTTCCTGAACAGGAACATTGTTTGTCCTGAAAGGTTTTGTCCAAATACTCCACTTAGCTCTGTGTTGTTTTGATGTTACATCTAGGCCCGTACCCAATACTCAGTCAAAAGGCTGAAGTCCCTCTTAGACTTATCAAGTGAAAAGCATGTATTGCTCAAAGCTGTGTAACAAATACAAATCCTACACAGCAACAGGAAAAAAAAGAAAAAATGTTGCTGAGCAGCATTCTTGTGATAGAACCAAGCATCTTATCCTTGGGATTCTTTTATTTCTAATTTCACTCAAATGTTAATTTTGAAAGGTGTATGGAATGCTGGATTGTTTACTAAGAACAGATTCAGATTCACGAGTTCATCTTGGTACATCCTTTATCAGAATGACATTATCCAGACAAGCTTCTAAAAAATAATTGTTTAGTTAATGGAAAATTAAAAATATTACCTGTCATGCCTTACATTCTTTCTTTTTGAATATATGAAGATATATATAAGCTTTGTGGTTGAGGGAGTATATTTTTGTTCTGCTTGTATAATAGCTTTCAGAAGAGCATTGTGGTACCTGAAACAGGCCTCTGGTTATAGCAGTAATGCCTGCAATACAGGTTAATACTGACTGTGTTTTTTATCTATATACCCAGACAACAAAAACACTGAAGCTCTCGCAGAAGTGCAGTTATATAGTTCTAAAAACAGTTTGGGGCTTTTTGACATCCAAATAAGTTTTCCTACCCATCAAATATCGTCTAAATAAGCTAAAAGAAAATAGAGTAAAAGAATAGCAGAGTAATATTTGGGTGATCATAGAAGGGGGAAGCAGACAGAACTGAAGTACTTTGGTTTTGAATCCAAACACACCATGCTCTCAATCTTTCCATCACACCCACACATACGTCTTCGCAGCCTTTTCACAGCTCTCTCAGCTATGTTCTACAAATATTTACTAAACTCCCAGTCTCATCACTTGTTGGAAAGGTTACAGTCTGAAGAACATTTCAACACTTATTGTAGCTGACACATCAAGTCACAGTCAGCAACTTCTCCAGACAACTTAGTTACAAGCAGCTTCCATTCTCACCTAATTGCTGGTCCTGGCTGCTCAAAAGTCGTGTTATTACTTTAATTGATATTTTACTAACTTGCTGGCTTCCAAGTTTGTAGGGTTTCTCAGAAGTAAGATTCACAGATTTTTATTTTTTTGTGTGTGTCTGCATCCCCACAGATTATCACTATTCACATCTATTATACAGCCTGTTAGAAAGCTAGAGGTCATGCTTATGCACCTATGCACTATCCTGTTAGGCAGGCTACAAACAAAGATAAATACAATAGTCGAACTAGGAAGCACTTTGTTCTGGGAGTGGATTTCAAAAAGCCATGTTACACTCCTCCACGTCCTGTGCTGTGAATGCAGTTAGTATGCACTTGAATAATAGATTTGCAAGAACCTGCTGACTAGGGACAACACCTAAACATGAATAAAAGGTTGTGGCTGAGATCTGGCTTGTCACTTAAACTGATGCCTGGTCATTCTTTGACTTCATGAATGTTCATTAACAAGGCATCTATTCAAAAGGAGATGGAGAATTTAAAGAAGTGGCAGCTAACACAAGTCATGAAATAATATTTGAGTGGCAAGACTCTTCTCAATTGTACTCAGATGGAGCTACATAAATGTAAAGTGTGAATGTGGAGTGACAGGCCATACGGGGCTGCAAAAGTGGACAAATAATACTCAGTTTACAGATTCTCACAGGAAATTCTGTCTCAGCCATGCTTACAGATAGACTATAGGTAAGAAATCATAAGAAAGGTGGAATGAAAACAAAACACTTGTGTTATGGAGGCCATTTGAAGACAGTAACATCTGGTATAGACCGCCCTCACAGGAAAAAAGCTAAATTTGGCAATTACATTATTTGTTGCAAACGATTCATTGTTATAATAGCAACAGAGGCACTCTGCAGTGCTGCCAGCACTTCTGCAGATGAGATCTGTGCGAGAAATAGATAAGGTGCTGAAAGGTAAAGCTCACACTTGACTGCCTGATGACAACTGTGGATCTAATTGTTTCAGTGTGTGCCATCCCCAGCCATCTGTGGTCCTCAAAATGCACAGTGGGAAAACACTAAACACAAACACAAACTGTGCTTCAGAGACAGTACAGAATGATTTGCTTTGCCTTTGTTATCTAAAAAGAAACTTCAGTAAGGCTGTGAAAAGCAACTTGTATTTTAAAAAAATTTCATTCAAAAGATGAACTACTTAAGATGACTACAGGTCTCGACAGATCTCAGAAGTTATTCTTATATCCTGCTGCTGTCCAGGAAATGTAATACTGTTCAGTGGCTTCTTACAAAGTCAAATTAAGCCGATAGAATTCTCTACAGTGAATCTAGTTGGGTCTGAATCATGTCCCATCTCTGCCATTTTTCAGGTGAACAGCTGACCTCTGAAGTAGTGTCTGGAATGCTTATTTTTCCCCCATTTTCTTCCATTTGGAGTAGTCCCACAGCTAGAGTCATTTTATTTAGCTCCATTAAAGTCTGACTTCCCTTATCAATTCTCTGACGCTGCTCAGTCAGACTGAAAGTGAGGAAAGCCTTCAGTCTGCAGAGGGTTCAATGGGGTTCTTTTCTGCTTACAAGACTATCAACAGAGCAAGAGTGTGGCTTTTTAAATGAAGTAAATGCAAGGGTAATACTGCAGAGGTCCTGAATTTTGAGAGCCATGAAGGAACTTAGTACTGCACAAAGTAGTTCCAGTAACGAAATCTTTCTAGCCCATTTCTGTTCTTTTGACATATCCCATTGATAGTTTTAAAAGCTAGACCCGAGGAAGGGTATCTCAGAAGAAAGACATAGGAAAACAGAGTGATTAATTTTAAAAGAGAAAAAAACCTTAAGAAGCTAGATCCTAGATGAACTTGGCTGTGGGAGAAGATGAGTGCGAGGTAAGGTTTGGTAGGAGAAGAGAAAAGCACTGATTCCCCACAGACTCTTCCACTGATGCATTCACTTGCTACTCAGCAGGGGGAACACGGGATTCAGAGCTGAACATCTGTGCCAATTTTCCTCTGCTACAAATCACTATCTTCACGCCTTACATTATTGTCAAACATGAGCCCATGTCCCACTTATGATTTTACATTCAGAAATTTCCCATCACATCCATCTAAATCCTGGGAGACATTTCTTTTAACTATTAGATTTTGTAGGACATTAATCCAGGTTGTCCCTCCCATATCTGTTCTTGCAGCAGTCTTTGTCCATAGATGTCAAAGCAGGAGAATATGTCACTATAGCTCAGCCTGTCAGCAGTATTTGACCAGGCAGGAAAAATAAATATACAGAGAAATACCTTTATTTATACTGAAAACTTAAGCAGTTGTTTTCAGCAAAGTAGTTTAAGAAAAGGAAGTGCATAGAGTTGTCTAGCTGAGACTTTAGGAGGTGTATTTTACATTTGTTTCTAGTCATTTGAAGTTAGAGAAACACAGTAGACGGAGCCTCAGTCAAGTGAGCAAAGACCCAACAAATATATTGTGAAGTAAAACAGGGCAGTGTTGGTCATATCTCATACAGAGTCAGGTTGGCTTGGTTCTTTGTCAGGAATGGTACTGAGGCATAAAAGAGATAATTGATAGAAAAACAAAGGAGCCACTTTTAGAAGTAAACTGAGAGCCCCACCAGCCATTTCTAATTATCTGTTTTTGTGGGAGAGTTTCAGAGCCCTGAGTGTGCAACCAAGGTTTCAAAACAGTTTTGGCTTTCCTACTTATACAGCTCAATTACATTTTCACAATCACAAGGGCTGTTTGAATATGTGGAGTTAGAATCTTGTTGAAAGCAGTTGGGTTCCGGAAGCTGAAGTTAGACATTGTCAGGTTATATTAAAGAGAGAAGCTTTGATAAAGATTTTTGTTTAAAAAAAAAAACCTTCATATGGGTCCTGTCTGATCCCTGAGAAATGAGGAGAGAAATACAGCTTCCTTGTAGTAGTTATCTCTTTCTCTCCATGCCCATTGCTATTTCTCCTTTATGGAAGATTTCCATATGCCTTTGAACAACTAGTTTCTTTTCCCTAGAAGGATTTTTTTTTTTCCTTTGAAAATATCTTGGGCTTCTAGGTTTTCAAGATTGGGGGCTTTTTGTTTGTTTGGTTAGTTGTTTTTTTAATTATTAGAGAGTTTAAGAAACTCTCAAAATTAGACTTAGCTTCACTGGGTAAAAAAAAAAAAGCTAAACCCCTCTATGCGACTTCACATTGTTACATGTATTTTGCTCATCCCGTGTTCAGATTTCTAGACACTAAACTATAATAAGGCATGCAGTTATTCTAATGCAGATCTACTCCCACGCAGCAGAACAGCACTCAGCTGAACCCTGAATGTTACAATCCCAATCACAGTGGGGGCTTTTTATGTTGCTTCCACTGATGAACTTCAAAGCCCTCTTTTCTTCCCTACTGTTTTATTTCTATCTGAATTACTGTAATCTTGTTTGCTCTCATGTAAAACACTTATTTTCATTGGAAGGAATTTTTTTTAGTAAGTCTTTTCTGCAAATATCCTAGTGTAAGGATAAAAAAAAAAAGTTTAAAAACATAGCTAGTTCTGTTGGAAAGTAATGGCATCAAGTTTTTGTTTTCCAGTGAGGAACCAAGTAGTTGTCTATTTAACATAAGTAGATAGTAAGCTAGTCCAGTTTCACAAGTGTGAAATAAAACCAGCAACATTAATTTTCTTGTGCCCAGGGCCAAAGCCACTCATCAGGCTGGGGTGCTTAGATACCTCCCATTCCAGTTCTGTAGTGAGCAGCACCCAAGAGTGACATGACCGGCATCACAAACACATCCACTTGAGCACTCAGCGTAAAACAATTATGTGGTCATGTACAAAAGCTTCAGAGTAAGTCTGCAGCAGAACCTACAGCTGTGATTTCACATCGAGACCTTCAGTAGTCACTGCCATCAAACTCCCAGCAGTGCATTTAGTGTAGAGCACCGAGCAGTAAGAGCTAGGGACTGTTTCAGTTTCTACTTACCACCAATACATTAAAAGTGCATGGGCTTTTTGTTGATCTTCTTCACTGGAAGAATTTCACAAAACAAGACTATATGATCAAAAATATAAAATTAATAGCCAAGAGTAACACATTCCAGCTTCCGCTGGAATGAGCATCCAGGGCACACATCATATTCTTCTATTTTAGAAGTCACAGCAAAATGTTTCTGCTAAGGTTTCATTGCCTGTGCTCCCTCTCAAATTCCTCGTCACATCACTCCTCTGTGGGCTGAAACTAGCAGGTCATAAAGGTCCCCAGAGTTCTGAAGTCTGATTGCTTTGGGACTACTGAAGAGAGTGATCAACAGGCCTGAGCCAAGGTCTTAATGGAACAAAATTCATATTTCACTAGAGATGTGCTCGTGTCACAGCTGAACCAGCTGGTACTACTACACCCATTAGCTCTTGGCATAGTTTGTGCTACACTTACTCAGGTGTGCTACTTGGAGTACTGAGATGCTTTGAGATCACTGATCATGACCTCACTGGACTTTCCCAGGCTCATCTCAAGGGCAGAACGCAGACTTGAACAGGTCCACAGTCTTCTACATTATATGCGATTTCATCAGCCCTAAACATTACTGATTAGGGAGCAGCCTCTCTGCTGAACAACAAGGAGTAACCTTAAAGGGCATGTCTGAAATTTTGACCAAACACAGGTCTGTTACGCACTCCTCCACCCTCTGACAACACACACATACTTAGAAAAGCAAAAGTGATTTCTTTTTCTAAATTTGATCTTTGTGACTCAAAACAGTGTGAAAGCAGCAATCCAGCTATGGTCTTTTTGCCCCCTGTTTAAACCTCTCAGTCACAACGACTTTGAAGATCATGAAAGAGCTCAGATGCTCAAAGCATCTTAGTACATTGTCTAGAAAGGGATCACATACTTTCAGCATGTGTCAAAGACTGTGGAGGCAGTTAGCACGTTAAAAAAAATCATCTTATTCTCCTTCCAGGAGAGTTAAAACTCACTGGCAAGACTGTTGTAATACTGCTTCCAATAAATTTTCCTCAAATCTGCAGAGAAGAGATTTCTTCACAGTTGTCATTTGGTATCTTACTGGCACTAATATTCACTCATTTACTCTAAAACTAAACAGAGCTGTCGCTGAGATTGGGCTCCTGGCAAGTGACATTGGTAGCAGTTTCTTTCCAAAAGAACTAATTCTATCTGCTTTCTTACTCCTCTCCCTGCAGGCTCTCACTATGGCGCCAATTCAGGCAACATATGTACCACACCTGGATGCGTTACTGCAGGTAATGATTGTCACTATGAGTGATTATTGCAGAGGTGATGTTTTACATGTTGTTAGTTCTACTGAACCTGAATAAACAAGAATTCAGGCTTTAGGACTGAAGAAGTTAAAAAGGAATGAGATTTCCCCTTGGGCTAGATACACATTGCTAATACTGCCAAAGGCAGCAAATACAGCTGTCCTCAAATACAGTTCCATGTGTAAACACTGAGCAAAACCCCGCTATTCTTACTTCTCCATTGTATAATTTCTTTGAATACCAGGAGTATCATTCATAAGGAAGTAGTACAGGAAAGTTGTCAGTGTGGTCAACAGTTCTCTGGCGCTGGCCTGAGCCACAAGGATACAGATTGACCAACGCAGTCTATATGAAGTATAATAAGAATCCCCTTAGAGCGAATTTTCTCTCAAAAGAGAACGCATTCTACACGTAGGGCTTTTCACCTTCTTATTTTTGGCATCTACTCGTACACCCCAAGAGAGACAAGACTCCAGCAGAGATGTTCCCATCTGCCCCTGGAAACACCGACTCCGTAGGTAGGTCCCCAAGCTGGGCCCCAGGTGGAACGCTGGGCAGCATGCTCATGCTGCAAGGCACTGTGCTGTGGGAGAACTTTGCTGCCATTGAGGCTCCCTCTGTAAAGCAGTACAAAAGCAGCGCGCACGTCTGCTGTCAGATGCTTCCTTGCATTTTCAAGCAGAAAATAGGATCCTTTGATCATAATACATGAGAACGAGTCTTAGCCACTATAAGCAGCATAAGCAAGGTGCCTTCTTACCAAGCCCCTTCTTGACAGTCTTTGGTAGTCCCAGAGATTACGGGGCAGCCTGTGGAATTCAACTCTCCAATTTTGATACCCAGCTGCTAGAATAATTCAGAATATGGACCCAACAGCCGACCCTTGCAAGGATTTCTACCAGTATGCCTGTGGGGGCTGGCTGAACCGGCACGTTATCCCAGAAACTAGCTCCAGATACAGCATTTTTGACATCCTGAGAGACGAGCTGGAGATCATCCTAAAAGGTAGGAATGAGGCTACTCTATCGTTGGTTATGCACTTGTGTTTAGTTTCAGATGTTATTTACTGCACTTTATACATAGAAATATACTTCCAGAGAAGCATCAATTGTGATTTTTTTTTTTTTGTCTCTAGTCCTTTAATCTCTACATCTCTTACTATAGCCATTTGTGGGAACATCCTGTTCCCACTAAAATTAGCCATAGGTGATTTGGTACTAACTTCAAAAGGAGCAGGACAAGCTGTATGCATGTCCTTCTTCCCTACACTTTTTCCATTAATAGCTCCTTTAAAGAGCACTCTAGTTTCACAGTAATTGAAGCCTACAATAGCAAGTATTTACCATAGCCCTGAATTCTCAGTGATTTCTATGAAAAGATCAAAGCTCTCCAGGGCAAAAATCTCACTGCAGTGGTTCTTTCCCCAGGTGTGCTGGAGACTTCAGATCAAGGGGACAGAGAAGCATTTCAGAAAGCTAAAATACTTTACAAGTCATGCATGAATGAGAGTGAGTCTCTTCTTGTTCCATTGATTCTCTTGTTCAATACCAAATATACAAAAGTACCAATGTACTTTTAAGCAAGAGTCCAGTCAATATCTATCTAATCTGCATGACCTTGCCTGGAAAGCTAATCTTCAGATGAATGAAAGTGCCTTGGTACATCATTAAGGCTTAACATACACATTCTGGGATGTAGAAACAACGGATATTGGTTACCTACCTCTGGCATCAACTCAAAGCTTTCCCTTCTGAACACAAAACTCTGTCCCATCTCATCCTTCCCAAGCTGATTCAGTCAACAGTATTTTCATTACTTTTCTGAAGACTAATGTAGGAGACAGATGATTTCACGGTATCTCTTACTTTCTACTGTGACAAATTACATTTAAGATTTAAACTATTTGGCCCGCTGCCTATTTTGCCTTTTTTTTTTTTTTTTTTTCTATGAAAACAATATAGTATTTGTTTTTTCCCTCTCAGGTCTTATAGAGCAACGAGATTCACTGCCTCTGCTAGAGGCCTTAACGATGGTTGGAGATTGGCCTGTGGCTTCTGCAGACTGGAATAAAACCAAAGGTAATGCTGTGCCTGAAAGACTTCAGTTGTATTAGGTCAGAATTATTTACTGCACTAAAGAGACTACTGTCATTGAATTAGATCCTCTGTTTTAACCTTTTCTTCATAAACAAAAGTCAGAGTATCAATAAATATTTAGCACACAGTGATCTGTGTAGACAAGATGGTGTTGATTTAATGTTATAAGATCTAATTCATGAGCAGTATGCATTTTTAAGGCAGTTAGGAAACCTAAAGGACCAACATGAATAAAGAAAACAAAAACAATATAACCAATATAGCTGTGTTCTAAAGCTTGCATATTAATTAGAGTTTGGAGCATAACTGCCTAAATAGGCAAGGTCATAGTGATATATATTATTCATAGGCAATTGCATATATATATATAAAAATCAATTTACTGATTACTTTGTATGACTGAGATAAGGCCAGGAAGAACAGTCTAGCAATTTCTAGACACTTTAGGAATGTCCTGTACAAATATTGTCACATCACGTTCAGTCTCATTCTAAACAATTTCAGCAATAATCTTGTAAAGTGTACAACTTAATCAGTCCTGGTACATATTGATAAATGATGTATATTTTCCCTTTAATCTCCCAGAGCCAAACTGGAGCATGGAAGAGAAACTCTCCATCATGAACTCCAGATTTAACAAGCGTGTCCTCATTGACATGTTTGTATGGAATGATGACCGAGATTCCAGCAGACACATCATTTATGTAAGAAAAAAATTGCGGGGAATTACCTATTTGCCAGAACCATAATGGATAGTTATTTACACTGCACACAGATTAGCCTTCCATAAGTCAATGGGTACACACAATACTGGCAAAATGCATGCAACAGTTCTGTACCCTGAGTGACAGATCTGATTTACAGCATTTAAGAATTGCAAAATCTTGTGACTTGTAAAATTATGAGGTTTAAAAACATGGCTTCCTGCTATCTATTAAAACACATAAATAATATGCGAAAGTTTGTTCGTGTATGCTTATGCAGGAACTCTAGTCCTCAAGTCAAGCAACTTCTAAGTTGCTTAAATTTATTCTTAGATCTCAATGGTTACTGAAAGATTTTGCTTAATAACCCACACTAAGTATCAATCCTGTCCTTATCTAGACATCCAGAGACAAAAGTTGTAGCTTTCTAGGAACTGGCGTGAGATGGAAGGTAAAGTTCTTTGATTGTTTGGTAGGAGTGTACTCTTGTTGTCATTCCAACACTGAAAGGATGGCACGGGCAGCTTTTCATGCTGCCTTTCAAGGATACCTTTGGACAACACCAGTTCCTGTTCATCACTAACTAAAGAAATGTATGATTTCCTTCAGATTGACCAGCCAAGTTTAGGAATGCCATCCAGGGATTACTACTTTAATGGGGGCAACTATCAAAGAGTAAGTATTCCTTGTAATTTATTTACAGTGTACTACTAAAGCAACTTTATTACTTAGCCTTGTGTTTTGGAAAGCTTAAATATATGAATCTTCACATTCTGTAACAATCAGAATTATACCGTGACATACATTGCTACATTTTTTTCCTAATTATGCCCAAATTTTTTAACATTTACAAAAGGACTGAACAACTGTATAAATATCAAGCCTCTCCAGAATTGGCCAATTCATACAGATGAGAAGATTATCATGCTTTATAGCTTAAAACAGCCTCTAATTTTGAAGAATAGGTTCACATTTTCAGTGCTGGTTATTTTGGATTCACTTATATCTTCTTCTAAAGCCACTGGTTCTGGCTACTATTTTACAAGGTACTGGAAAGCTAGATTATAGATATGGGAGAATAACTGTCATACTGGATCATATCTGAACATACAATACCCCAAAATGTGTTTGTTTGAACACCAGAATATTCAGAATTTTTCACATGTTCAGTCAGGGAAAAAAAGTGTAAAAAAAAAATAAAATGCTTTACATGGAGCAGCAAAAGCTGTATTAATGGAACAGACACTCAGCTAGTAAGAATCTGCTGCCACTTTTCTCCAAAATTACATGAAAATTGTGAGATACTATTTTCTAGCTGTTTTTCTCTGCCAATGCTCAGAGCAAAAATGTGAAGGTTTCTGTTAATACATAGAAAACTGTTGCAAACATAGCAAGATAATTTATCAGTTTCCAAGATGAAAATACTGCTTTAGTACACTTTATTTTCCTCAGTTATGTCATACTAACAAAGAGTATTTGCAGCCTAATGTCAAATCAGTTTTTGGAATACAGAGACAACAATCAGCATTTTAGACTCTTTTGTCTAAGGGTTGTAAAAGCAGATGAAAACAGAGAGACTAGTTTTCTTCTTACTTCAGTGTATTTAACTATATTCTCACATATAACACAGTCTAAAATATAGTCCTGTGAAGTTTTTAATATATTGTTTCCATGTCTTCCGGACACCTTTATAAGATGCCAACTTCTGTTAATCTGTCTCATGATACAAAACAATCCCCATGTAGTTGTGTCAGGAACTGCAGATAGCTGCTGGAACTAGGATTCTGTTCTACAAGTTTCACCTATCTAGTGGCAGTTAGAGTAAAGAGGAGGGATATTTAGGCATTGTTGCATGAAAGTCAGACTTCAGTTGTCTCATAGGAGATAGAAAATGAGGTACAGTACCTAGAGAATCCTAAATTAGCAAAAGAAACTGCTTAATACAGTTTTAATTTGAAGCTATGAAGAAGAAGGGTTAAGGCTGCGTTTCTAATCTCAATGAACAAGGAGGAGACACAACCCCTCTTTATTTGCTATTTAACAGCTCACTTCCCACAGACAATGAACCAAACTCTGATGACCTAAACTTCCCCTCTGCTTAGTCCATCATCTTTTGGCAAAACTCCTACTGAGGCCTGTGGGAGTCTGGCCTGATTAAGGCCTCAGCATCCAGCCTAAAAACACAAATCGTCATCATCATGTAAGTGCCCAGACTCAATTTCACAACAGTTACTGCATTTATCTGTTTTCCAAGGTCTACAGGCTAAGAAAAGTATGCAATAATAATAGGTAGTATTAAGCTTTCCTGTATCAGAGATCAGTACTCCCTCAGCAGCCAAATATTTTTTCAAGGTTCATTCTGAAGCATAAATCACAGCCATAGCCTCCTATTAGAAATAAAGCAAAGGTATCACTGGGAACCATCTGAGACAGAGCTTTTCTTTCAGACAGTAAAAACAAAGTTTAGGAGACTTACAGTATTACTTTCAGAGAACTTAAACCTTCCATGTTTACCCTGGTATTTTGGCTAGAAGGGATAACTATTCCCATAGTGTAACTTAAAGCACAGAGCTTTCTCTTTGCTCCAGTAGTAATTTTAGCACCAGAGATTTGGATTGCAGACGGAAGCAGGAAGTGTTGCTTTCACTATGTATTTTGAGACTGGCAACTGCACTGTAAGGTATTCCAGGATGAACTGAGGTCCCAGGTATTGCAGTAGTATATTATAGTAGAAAAAACAAAGACAAGAAAATGGGACTGGGTGGGGTTGCATTAGAGACAAGGACAGAGGCTGTGACCCCTGGGCCCAGCTTTTTCACAGCACACGGTGAAGCAAAAATGACAAAAAGAAGGGAATGCTGAATGAGACATGATAGGCAGAAAACCTTTCTTCACAATACTACACACATGTTCTGTTTCTTGTATGCAGGTGAGAGAAGCTTACCTGCAGTTCATGATCACCACTGCCAAAATGATCCGGGAAGACAAGAATATGCCTAAAGATGATTCCTTTGTCCAAGAGGAAATGGCAAAAGTTATGGAGCTTGAAACAGAGATTGCAAATGTGAGTACAGAAATCAAGAACTTCTCAGGATGTTGGCAACGACAAGGGGTGAGGGAGGGAGTCTCTGGCTGTTTTGCGCAGCAGTTTAATGCAGCACAAAACTCATGGGCTAGAAGGCAGCAGGGGGAAAATGAGTTGTGCTGTGAGCAGGACAGAAATCACAGCCTCTGTGTGTATAATTATGACTACTGTATACACCGCATCTGTGTCTGCAGTAGTCCTTTGAAGTCTCCTAAAGCAGGATAATCTACCTTCTGCTAAACACACACTGATAACACCACGGCTAGCTCCCTTACATCCTTAGAAGTCTACAGCACCCTGAAAATCTCTTAAGAGCTTAGTCTCCCATTCTAAAGAGGATAGAGGGAACTGCTCAGCTCAACACACTACAGAAACATTATTGAATAGGGGGGACCTGAGTTCCTATACTAAAATTTAGAAAGCAGCACTGAACACCATCACATGGGCTTTCTTTTCTGAAATAAACTGTTTTATTCGTATATCATTTGAGTGTGTATATGTGCATGTGCATGCATGCAATTTCAGCCATTGACACTTGTGTCAGTTGATTCTAGTAATAACCTTGTGAATGTCTTCAGGCAACTACCCCAGCAGAAGAAAGGCACGATGTAACCTTGTTGTACAACAAAATGACCTTAAAAGAGCTACAGGAAAAGTTTGCATTGAACGTAAGTGTTTAATGAGCAGTCTAATACTTTCAGCCTCCTCTTATTACCGTGCCAATTGGAAATAGATCTGTAAATTTATCAGTGGTGCAACAAAGAGAACTACAAAATCATTACCATTCTTAATCTTGTCATCAGAGTCTCTTGAAAAGCATTTTTCTACTGAACAGCACTACAGCTACATTCAATCCCACAGACTGTATGTAGAAGGTCCAGCCAGTTACCGAGACACTTAAACACCTGGCATTGGTATATGTCTTTCTGTCTGCCTAGGAATTTAACTGGACCTTCTTCATCCAAGGTGTCATGTCTTCAGTAAGTGTTCAGGTTGACCCAGAGGAAGAGGTTGTTGTATATGGCATGCCCTATCTGCAAGAGCTGAAAGCAATTCTCTCCAAGTACTCAGCAAGGTAAAGAAACTGGAGAATATCCAAGACAAAAAAACATGGAAGTATTGTGGAAATGTAAGTTATTGGGCCCGCTTGCTAGTTCTGCCAGAACTCCTCTGAGCAAAATGACACCACTGCAAGATATGGGTAATGTCTTCTAAGATCCTAGGGTCCCAAAGTACTGTGGTACTAGGTGTCTCACCTGCTCACATGCTTAGAAAAGATTAAATGGGAAGAAAAAAAAATACATCAGGCTTAGCTCTTGTTACACTCTAGACAAAAAAAAAAATGAATCTCTGAACAGACATGGTGGTACAGTCCTCAGTCTGGATGCCTCTACAGTTAGCCAGCCTGTTAAATAAGAACAGTCACCTGTAGATACTATGAAACTGATGACTGGCAGCAATCATTTCCTTTCTTATCTCCATTCAAAATTAAGATTCCCCCTCTGACTGTCTGCACCAGTGTTGCTTTTTACAGGGGATTAAACTCAGCTTTGCTTTCCCACACAGCACCATCCAGAACTACCTCATTTGGCGATTGGTGATTGATCGAGTCAGCAGCTTGAGTCGGCGTTTCAAGGACGCTCGGGCCAGCTATAGGAAGGTATTTCCTCCTTCCTAAAGAGACCATAGAGCATGGTACTGGAAGAGAGTCCAAACCAAGTCCTTGTCAACACAAGGGCAGTATTACATCATGTAATCCCCAAACAAATCAAAGAACAGATGACAACAGTGGAAGCTTTCATCTTATTTTAACCTCCTCTTTAGGCAATGATTTAGGAGGGAAATGATGTGTAGGCAAAATTAATCTTATAGCATTTTGTGTTGCAGGCACTTTATGGGACAACACTGGAAGAAGCCCGCTGGAGGGAGTGCGTGAGTTATGTCAACAACAACATGGAGAACGCAGTGGGGGCAATGTATGTCAGGGAGACATTTGCTGGTGAGAGCAAGAGGATGGTATGTAGTTTACCCTTCATACTATTGTACATCCATGGTGTCTACAGTGCCCACTCCCCTCCATCTTATCTCCCAACCTATTTTGTCTGTTAAAGATCTCGATCATCCTAGAGCCTGAAGGCAAAAGAACTCATTTATGATGCTCTTAAATGTCAAGTACCATGTGTTAGAGCATAGAATTTGGGGACATCATCTTTCAGCAGGAAGCTTTGCATCGCTCATTAGCTGTGCCCGGGGAAAAAGCAGCATGTAAATGATTAATGTCTTACTGCCTCTCTTTTAGGTCCGAGATTTAATAGATAAGATACGTGAAGTGTTCATCGAGACTTTAGATGAGTTACAGTGGATGGATGAGGCATCTAGAGAGAAAGCCCGTGAGAAGGTCAGAGATAACAAGAAACTTGAATATTCCATCATGAATATGAAATCTTTGGAACTCTATCGTATTCCCAGTTCCTCTACAAATAAGAGGAAAAAACTTTGATGTTCATTATCCTGTTATCCATTATTCTATTATATTGTCCTTTTTAATCCTTTGTTAGCTCACATACATTTTTATTTCCCTTAATGAGCTTTGTGAACCATGTTATAAATGAGGAGAGAAGATGGAACCAAATGCATCAGCTAGAATGACAACTGAGTACAATACAATCTCCTAAAGAAATTTTTTCAAACTTTTCATAGACTTCAGGACCATCAGCACTGTTCCAATAGCAAGAAGAAAAAAGGGCATTAAGTGAGGCTTAAACCCAATCCCTGTCAGATGGTGTAGGGTCTGCAAGTCTACCATAGTGGCTAGACACCAGGAGATGAGAGGAAGACTATGTTCTATATTAACAAAAAAGTCTGACTAGGCAATAGGGTGCATTTGAACAAGGTCTTTAAATATTTGCATCCAGTTTCTCACAAACAGGTGGACAATAGCAATAAAGAATTTGAACTATTATATGTATTGAAACTGTAAAAAAACAAAACAAAACAAAAAAAAAAAAACAAAAACACACACACACCAACAAAACCTACAATTAAGAGGAAACATTAAACTCTTCTCTTCTAGGCAATGGCAATTAAAGAACAAATTGGCTATCCGGATTATATTTTGGAAGATCAGAATGAAAAACTAGATCAGGAATATGCCAATGTAAGTATTGTGCATTCCTCAATAAGTACCTCAATATAAAAGCCTACATTTACTTTCTTGCCCCTTGGAATGCTTATATCTGCAACTCATTTACAAGTGACTGGACTGCATACAAAATTGATTGTGTTGAACATTTTAATAAATAAATGCATGCTAGCTATTAAGTGATACCTTGCAATCAAAACATTTTTTAGAAGATACATTCATTGCTAGGAGGAATTCCTCTTTCCACACAGCTTACTAATATAGTTGCTCATCTGTTTCTTTAGTTGAACTTCAGTGAGCATAATTACTTTGAAAACATTCTGGAAAACCTGAGAGCCGGAGCCCAGAAGAGCTTGAAAAAACTTCGCGAGAGAGTTGACCAAGATATGTAAGTTCCCAGACTGCATGCTACAGACACAATCTAAATTCTGAAATAATGGTTACTGTGCTTAAGTCATATGGTGTGGATAGCTGAGAAAGCTTATGTCTGAGATCTTGAAAGTTATTTCCTGCAGTGAAACAAGTAGTTCATTGCCTCTTGTGGTAGGAATTCATCCAGTTCTCCTGAAATTTCTAATCCTTCACCAAGCTGCTTTGCATGTAGATGTTACATTGAAACTGCTTGACACAAAAGTCGTGATGGATCTTTCTTACAACTCAGCAAGGAAGATACAAGATAAACAACATCATGGAACTTGTGAAAATTTATACGCAGGCAAAAAAAAAAAAAACAAAAACCAAAACAACTTAAAATATTCTGGCCAAAGTTCTGTTGGAAATATGCCCAATCTTGGGGGAAGTTGAGCACCTGATGTAGTTTAGGTCTATTTCCAGCTGATTACTTCACACTGCACCTAGTAAAGTGTAAATGTATTTTTAAGGAACTTCCTGTCATGGGTGCAGGTTTGGCTGCTTCGTGATTCAACAAGGCCAAGGGCAAGGTCCTGCCCGTGGATCAGGGCAATCCCCAGCACAAACCCAGGCTGGGCGAGGAGCGGCTGGAGAGCAGCCCCAAGGAGAGGGACTGGGGGTGCTGGTGGGGGGAAAACTGCCCGTGAGCCAGCACCGTGCGCTCGCAGCCCAGAACCCCCCCGTGCCCTGGGCTGCAGCCAGAGCAGGGGGGCAGCAGGGCCAGGGAGGGGATTCTCCCCCTCTGCTCCGCTCTGGGGAGACCCCCCTGCAGTGCTGGGGCCAGCTCGGGGGCCCCCAACAGCAGAAGGACACGGAGCTGCTCGAGCGGGGCCAGAGGAGGCCACGAAGATGCTTGGGGGGTTGGAGCAGCTCCCCTGGGAGGCCAGGCTGAGAGAGTTGGGGGGGTTCAGCCTGGAGAAGAGAAGGCCTCCCAGGGCTTAAAGGGGGGGACAGGAAAGGTGGGGAGGGACTCTGGATCAGGGGTGATGGGTTTAAACTGAAAGAGGGGAGATTTAGATGAGATCTAAGGCAGAAATTGTTCCCTGTGCTGGGGGTGAGGTGCTGGCCCAGGGTGCCCAGAGAAGCTGTGGCTGCCCCCTCCCTGGAAGGGTTCAAGGCCAGGTTGGACAGGGCTGGGAGCACCCTGGGCTGGGGGAAGGAGTCCCTGCCTGCAGCAGGGGATGGCACTGGAGGGGCTGTCAGGTCCCTTCCAACTCAAGACATTCTGTGATTCATTCTATGATCCCTTCTTTGACTCCATAAATGCATCCAGAGTAAGCCTCAGGTCTTAGCCTGTATCGCCTTAGCTGTTACCTCACAGTTTTCCACTGTTGGGCAAATCTTCAGCTAGTGCTAGTCTTAAAACCACCAAATAAAAGTGATACATTCATAAATTGTTACTAACAGCTCCAGGGTGAGCAGTTGGCATCACTAGCCAGTAAGAAGCAGTACTACACAACATCACCAGGACAACCCCTCCAGTCCTTCAAGTGCAGTACAGTTGAGTTCCTGCCAAGTCCATGGCATGGATACATCCCAGAAGCCCTGTCTTGCATGTTCAGCAACAAATGCCTTGGAATATGACCTGATTTCCAGAGCTATGAGCTAGCCAATCTCAACTTTTAATAGCCCTGTTCGCTGTGTTGGAGGTCTCCAGCCCAGGAAGCTTATCTGGCAAAGCTACTGCAGAATACACTAGTGACAGATACATTGTAATGGAAGGCAGAAATAAGGAAGGTAATGCCAACTTGATGTAGTGTTCACTAGTAGACTTCCAGCCTGTGTGATGCCTGAAGAGAATGTCTTGAGACAAAGGAAAGGAGATTCCAATAAGAAATTCAAATGCCTCTTCACAAAACATAAAATAACATTAATAAGCAAGCAAACAAAAACCTCTCCAAAGGGGAGCATTAGTCAAGTTAACAGTTGCAAAGCCTATTCATTTTTTCTATCCCCCTTTCCCATGAAGTGGTTTTAACTCAAAATGCGAGCACACAATGGAGATACTTAGAAACCTCCAGTGAATTGCTGATGAATAATTCACCAGGGAAGTTTTCTGATCAGTCAACTACGTAACAGAGCATTTTTTCTGCTTCCTCATTTCTTGCACAGCGTTGGTGTTCTTCATCTACAAACTGTGTTATAGATCACTGCTGCCTTTACAGTCTGTCTAGAGACAGATGGTAGCCCTTTAGCCAAAATCCCCAGTGCCTCTGCTCATTCTAGGTAAGGTTTAAAGCACATTTGTGGGAACCTTTACAAGGATTCATGCATTAGGACTTCTTTACCTGATAGCTTGGTGATATTTGAAATATCAATAATTTGCTCTTTTTCCATGTAATAAACTACATCTTTCTACTGATGTGTCTGCAGCAGCTTGAAGGGTTGTCCCAAGGAGACATAAAACCCATTATCACTGTTTAATTAAACCAAAGGAGAGTATATAACTAATATTGCTGATATTATTAGCTAATTATTGCAATTAAGAAAATTAACCTTGTTCACAGCCTGGTTAGAGGCGGGAGGGCTCTGGCTCTGTGTTTGGTGTGTTAGTTGTTACAAAGCTACCTGGCCAACTACAAGTATCTCATGTCAGTTGTGCCAAGGAGAAGTTTATGGACCAAGAATGTGTTTTCACAACAGACTGGCCTTCAGAGGAAAACTGTTTTGAAAAAATACCCCCTTGAATTCAGGAACAGATTCCTACTCCCTCTCTGTGCATGCGTTACACACGTTAGTAGCAATATCAGCACAACTCACTTCTACCAATTATTCCTGTTCCCAGGCTGGGATGATCAGTCCTCTCTATTCTGTTAGTCCAGAATAACCAGTTTTTCAAAAACTGATATAGACACATGCTGTATTTCTTAAGCAGGAAATTTAATTCCATTCCACAGCAGCCCACAAGTAGTTATATCCAAATATTAGTAGATACAGCACCTAGGGCATCACAAAATACTCTAAGGACAAGAGATATGGGAAGAAAAATATCTTGGCCTGATGCTGCTGGATACTTACCACGAGTTCGTGGCTTCAGACTCTTACTGCATAGTTCATTAGAGAAAGCTGACCAGAAGTGTATGTCAGAGGTAGAAGAGAAGGGGAGAAAGAAAAATTCTAAGAATAAAAAGTTTCAAGATATGGGAGAGAGTTTTCAGAAGTAGCCTACTTAAAAATTACTTCTCAAAGTTTACACTCATTATCTATGAAATACTGGACCCCAAATGCAGACATTTAAAACTGAATCATCAGTCAGATATGTAATTTTTCAGACAAGTTTGGTCTTAATTTCCAGCTTGAGTAACTGCCTTCTGCTTCTCAAAATGTCCTCTAAATGCTAGTTTTCTTTTCAATGTAAACTATTTCTTTCTTCTCAAGCCCATAGTGTTAAAATGAGCTGGTAAACAGTTACCACAGCCCACCCCAATGTGGCTGTTCAACACTCAAGAGCAAAAGTGTTTCTCACTTTGACTTGGCATTATTTTGGATGAAAGGTGCCCATAAATAAGAAATCAGTTGTTTTCTGGTATTGGTATTTCTTCACAGCTGTGTTCAATGGCACCCTTCTTCCCTACCTCAAACCTTTCCTTTTATGCAGCCTGAGATTTTAACAATAATAAGTCAATAAAAAAGAATGTCTAAAAAAAATAAAAAATCATTACTAACTTTGTGTGCAATGTTTATTTTTAGATGGATAATTGGAGCTGCAGTGGTCAATGCATTCTATTCCCCCAATCGGAACCAGATAGGTAGGTTACAACAGTTTTAAACAGCTGCATGGAACTAATTAATCATTCTTTGCACCGCAAGAGTGCAAGTCTGCTATCCAGAGGCAAATCTGCCTGTGCCCTGACAGGAAGCCTGCGCCAGGCAGCCAGGCTGTTCCTTTCAAGTGGTCGTGTTGGGGTGACTGTTCAGCCTTGCCCACCCCCGGCTTGGCAGGCACCGGTTATGGGCCTTAATCGGGACAGCCTGATGTTTGAAGGCCTGAGACAGTAACTGCTACGCTACAAGTGCCAGCTTCAGAGACCACAGAACGCTCACAGTGTGTTCTGGGCTGTTTGTACTCATGTTTCCGTATTTCTGATAAACACACAGGCAGCTTTCCAGTTTCCTATCTGTACAGATGGTGCTGAAATTATATCAGTAAGAGGCATACCAGACTAAAGAAGCCTGCCTCTGCCTACAGAACACCAGATCTGTGAGTTTTTGCAGAGGTGCTAGGTTGGCCTTTCTTGTTCTTAGCAGAGACAACTTTCAGACTTAAGATATAGTGAATCTGCCAGGCTCCTATGCTCCCTGATCTCTGAGCTGGTAGAGTCTTTGCTGAATTTTGAGCACCCTAAAGAGGAGAGAAACCAAGTAATTTCTACTAAGTAGCACTTATTCAAATTCCCAGACTACCAGGAAGATCTACTATCCAAGTACTGCCAAATACCATAGGAGGCAAAAATCCGTGTCCTTTTTTTAGGCCAGACAGCAACTATATCCTGCTCAGAGGACAAAGACTAGAAATGGAAAACAACCCAACCAACCAACAGTCACAAAGGAAAACTTTGATAATAGCTAAAAGCAGAAACATCCAAAATGCTCATGATTTAGCCCTCTAGCCTCATCCAAAAAAAAAAGCTGTTTCCCATTTGTGTAGTTTCCACTTACCTCCATACTGCAGGTACAGTAAAAGCTGTGCCCAGCCCCTCAGCCACAGCAGGGTGCTCCTTTCCCCTGCCAGAACACCTCACCTTGGAGCTGCACTTGCAGGCAGGCTCGGGCTCCCTGGTTATCCACGGGGGTTCATGCTGATCGCCGTCAGCTGTGAGCCAGCTTGCCAGGCAGGGAACTCGGGTCTTAAAGAAGACTGGTTCCTCTACAACTTTGCCCTTATAAGTAACAGGGAGGTAACTGGTTTAAGCAATTTGAAGATGAATAGGCAAGGCAAAAATCCAAACACAGCTACCCACAGTAGTGTAGAGGTCAGTTACATGCTGTTTCTTCCTGTCTCTAATTTTAGGAAAATCGTTTTCCACACTACTTTCAGTTTCCTGCTTCTGTATGTAGTCTGTCTTACATATTTCTCTCTAACATTGTATAGATAAAACCTTTTATAGAGTCACAAAGGTTTTTGTCTCTATGTGAAATATTTTCTATATAATTTCAATATCTCACGTCTTAAAAAGTATCTTATTAGAATGAATTGCATACAGTCTTAATTCCTCTAGAAGCATATATGCTTTTCATGTCATGTAGGTGGGATGAAGACTAAATCCCCTTGATTTTATATAACTTTTTTGCCAGTAGACTGAAGGATAGACTTCCTACTGCTCCCCTCTCTCCCCCCTGGCTGGCATCCAAGTGCACTGGGTGGTCTGTAGGAATTACTACTGTGAATTTTTTACTCACCGAGTATTGTTGGTAATCAACATATGATTGCTAGCCTTTCTTTAACAAAAATAAAGCAATAAGACATCCCCATTAGTTCCCCTATAAAATGGCTCTAAAACACGAACTGTACCTATCTCCAAAAGACAGTTACTAAACATTTTGTTCTTGACTTACTGCAGCATGCATCACGGACCAAATTAGGCTAAAGTTGAAATATAAATGATGCTTGGTTCTCAAACAAGGAGATATTGTGGTTGCAGATGTGCTAAATTAAACCTTTATTAACTTGTCATTTTCCATTTATCAAGAGAGAAACCATTTCATGTGAGGAGGCATGATGTTGTTTCTAATCATTTTATATTTTATGTTCTTTCCTGATCCTTAAACCAGACAAACAATCTGTCTGCAGAGTGTGCAAAAATAAAGCTGCCTTACAGTTTCTCCCTCTCTCTTCCCCTCTTTGCAGTTTTTCCTGCTGGGATTCTACAGCCCCCCTTCTTCAGCAAACACCAACCACAAGCCCTAAACTTTGGAGGAATCGGGATGGTCATTGGGCACGAAATTACTCATGGGTTTGATGACAATGGTGAGAAGAGAAAATGTTACTCTTTCAGTTGCACTCATTACACTGTAAGAAATTAAAGTTACCCACTGCTGTGACTGATGTATCCATGCACACCCGCTCACGTACCCATGACTGGGAACAACACAAGCACACTATTAACGTTCCGCTGAACATTTTGCAGTGGATGTTTCATGAACTAAGCGGGTCACACAAGAAGTAAGCAGGTGTTAAAAATAAATTGAGTCAATGACAATTCTCAGGAAAAGCTGTTGCTTTCACGGCATCACCTGATCAGAAATACAATGCAAGCGGATATACTGGCTCCCAAAGTAAAATGAAATCTGTGAACTACATTATTGGGATAGAAAAGCTGTCAGAAGTGTCTTGAAATCACAGGAGGTTGTTTTTTTTTTCAACATAAATGTTTGAAATAATTTGACTTTATTATCTTTCTGGAATGCTATTTAACATCATTTTGGGCAAAAACTCACTTCTGATACTGTAAGCCAGTGACTTCTTATACATGGGTTTTCTTCGATGTGGGGTTTTTATGTTAATTAAGCTTGTGCAGATTACATACAAGCACACAATACAGCCCCAGAAGTCTACAGCTTTAGTGAAGAAAAAGCATACTTTAGCCAGATAGCTGAGAACACAAACACCAGAACTGCAATTCCAGCTTTCTCCTGCTGTGGCAATGTAATTAATTCTCTGTGAACCTCAGTTCTGTTACACAGACACACAGAATAAGCACCTTGGACACCTCGAAAGTGGTAGGAAGTTTTGCTACATGATGTCTGCATAATCCAATTTGAAATAAAACTAGGCCTTAGTGCTATAACTGAAGTCAGGACTGCTGACTGAATAGCAAATCACGGAATAATAGAGAATAGAAATTAAAGGACCACAGTTGATTTTGTCCATTCTCTTGTGCCAAAACCATTTCTGATAAATGTCTGTAGCACAGACCATCTAAATCAAAGGAGGAAAGAGGGGAGGAAGTGCAGCTCTCACGTTAGAAAGGAACGGATGCTACACTGGAAGAATGGTTGCTCTAACATACTCTCACTCAAAACTTCCCTTTTTTCTTGGATTTTCATACAGGTAGGAATTTTGATAAAGATGGAAATATGCTTGACTGGTGGAGCAATTTCTCAGCTATGCATTTCAAGGAGCAGTCTCGTTGCATGGTTTATCAGTATGGGAACTACACATGGGAGCTCGCTGGAGGACAAAATGTAAGTAAAAACCAACTAATTCATGCCACTGTTTTTTTATACAGAAAAATAATAAATGTAAATGGAGAATCTCTACAGACGATAAGCATGAAACCCTGCATAGTACAAGATAATTGTTCTGGAAGTAAGTTACAAGGGTTGTTTCTTGCAAATTGGGGATACTAGTGTAGCCTAGAAACCCATCTGTATCTGTGTGCGCTGGGGTTAATGGTGACCTGGGCCCATGGGTGCTTCGCTGCCAGACACTGTGAGGTGGTTTTTTCAAGGCAGGAGGGGGCAGGAGATTTTTTTGATGTTTGCTACTGTGTTTTGCCAGTCCTGCTAGCCTATGTTCTGCGCAGCAGCCCATCCTCTGTTCCCGTTACATTTGTATATATGCTCTCAATTCTAATCTATAGCTTTTACCCTGCTTTTTATTTTCATTCTCTCCTTTGCCCTAGGACAAAGTCACTACTTCCTTCTGTTCCAGACATGACTGTCTATCTGTGATGCGTGACTGTGCTTCAGCTTGTGGTTCTTAGGGTTCCTAATGTTACTGACTACAGACCAAATGATTATTCTTTTACAGGTCAGTGGAATAAGCACATTAGGAGAAAATATTGCAGATAATGGAGGAGTCCGACAGGCTTATAAGGTAACTTTCAAATACACCGTGAGTTAACTTTACCCCTGGGATTCAGCAATGGGGCGATTTATTCCATCATTAAAAACTGACAGTTAAAATGTTATTACCATATTCAAAAACTTAAAGCCTCAATTATATATCTAGAAGTCTATGTCCCCATAGATCCAGCCAGTGTAGGATAGCTGGCATTCTTGCACCCAGGGGAAGACTACCTAATTCTCCTAGCTATACTTTGATGTACTGCAGTGCTTGATGCTGCATACTTGTCTCAGGTAAACAAGGGCAACGTTCATAATTAGGCACAGTATTAACTAGGAAAAAGGTAAAACACCTTTCAATTTCTAAAGCCCTTAATTCTGAAAATGGCAGCTACAACTTCAAACAGCTTGTCACATGACAACAGAGCACTGATTTCTTGGCAACACAGTTTGGTGATATTATGAAGCAGAGCAACTTTTTTTTCCAAGATTATTTCTCTCATGGTTTTCATCTTTGGTCTCAAAAGTGACATGTCAGGTAGGACATGAAAAGAAGAGATGGAAATGCCATCTCTTTCCCAAGAGGGATACAGATCATATCTACCAAAATACCTGTCTCTAAAAGCCGAGCTCCTTTTGTTGCTTTCTTTATGTGTTTTATAAGCTTTAAGAAAAGAAGACAATGTCCCTTCTACCTTGCTGCTATTTATTTTCCATGCACCTAGAAAGCAGAATAAAAATGCAAGGATTAATAATCTCAGAACTGCCTCCCTCTTTCCACAGTAAAAGGTTGCTTCAACCAGTCAGTTATTTTAAAAACAAGAAATGCAACTGATTTCCAGAGCACTGCCTCCATGCTGTGGTTGAAAACCTGTTTTGTTCCGCATGGGTTTAGCTGTTATAAACACGGTTGTATAGCACCTTATTTCTCCGGCTCTACCAGGGGAACTCAGCTGCCAGACTGAGGGACCTCTAATCCTCCAGGTTTACAAACCATCCTTACAAATAGGAACACAATATTTATCAGCACAAAGTCTCTTTCCGTGTGGAGCTCAGGTGTAAGCATGGAATGTTCTTTCTATGAATAATCCTAACAGATGTCATTGTAAAACTTTTTATCTCTGGTGTTTTGAATATGGCAACAGATAAGGTGTTTATAGGAGAACATCCTGAATTTTCAGAAATCTAAACTGACCATTCTGATTCTGAGATATACCATTACAATTAATTACTTTGTTAAAGTGAGTATATGCTTGGTTCTAAAAGCTATTACAAATGACATAAACTGCCTGCATACAGAATCCGCTGATGTTCTGTGGTGCTGAATGTATTTTTACCCTCAGCTCTACCTTTTATGTTTTGTGTGCTTTGGGACTATCTCAGCAACTAAGAGGATGAGGTAATAGAACGTTTCAAATTAACCAGCATGAGGACACATTAACTTGTCTCCATTATGTCAATATACCTAAAAAAAGAAAATTGGCCAATTAATGTGTAACAATAACAGGTAATGGATTTAACATTGAGCAAGGTTATTATCTGCTATTTTATGAGCAGTTACCTGAAGAGATAAAAATCATCACCACAGAACTGTGGAGAAGACTTAACACTTTATTTCCAGATACAAATTCCTATAGAAAACATCAGTGAAAGCTGATGATTTTACTTCAAACTGCATTCATGGGTATTCAGTCTCTGTAGCATTACTGATTTAACATAAATCACCAGCTATACTTAAACATGGTAGTAGCAGTGCACTTTGTCACGCGTGCTTGCTGAGACGCAATAGCAAACTAACGGCCCATCAGGGCGAAAACGCTGTGTGCTGCCTGGCTGAAGAAATTCAGAACAGCCCTCCAAGTGACTCCGTAGAAAACACACACAGCTTCTTGCATTGAAGGTCAACTGGCCAACAGTAACTGCTACTCTAACACTCCACTTCCACATAAGAGTTTGGTATTTTTTCCTGTTTTATTTTTTAGTTGTCAGTTCAGAGGTTACGCTACTTAAGAAGCTGAATGCAAATTATCTGTGTTTCATTTTTTTGCTAGAAAAGTCGACTGAGTACTTACGATGATAACTTTTTCATAAAATTAGCTGTACTGTTTGTATTAGAAAGATAAAACCTACAAAAATACAGAAGGGAAGACATGTTGGTTCATATACATCGTGACTAAAATCTCTCACCCCAAAAATAACATTCAAAATACCTATCATGCCTGAATAGGCCATCCTGGTGCTTCTCTGAACTGAATCTGTGATCATGTCTAGGCTTACTTAAAATGGCTGGAGCGGGAAGGGAAGGAGCCAAAGTTGCCTGGACTGAATCTGTCCCACAAACAGCTTTTCTTCCTCAACTTTGCTCAGGTAAGGACACTTGGACACCGCCGCTACACGCTGCTGAAGGTCCACATTACATTATCTTAAAGGTTAGAGAGAAAAATCAGTCCCAGGCTCCACTTAGACAGTGATTCACCATTGACTGCACTCACCAAAAGGTCAAGACAGATGTGAAAAAGATGGTTTAGTGATTAAAGAGTTCTCAGTAACATTTCTGAGGGCACTACTGAAGCCTGCTGGAGTGACGATACAGAGAAACAAGGCATCTACCAACAAAAAGGCCTGTCAAACATCTTATGGGGGACAACAACTTTCAAGAGCTTGCTATTTCATGTAAATATAACTAACAGGAGAAAACTCCTTTTGCTTTTGACACAAACAGGGTTTCATCTATTTTCTAACATCTGCTGGAGAAAACTGAATCCCTGAGAAATACCAAGACAGCAGCCCTGAAATAGGAATACATATTCAGATCACAGGTGTTGCTACAGATCCCACTTATTTTCCTCTGTTCCACTTTACTAAAATGCAGAAACAGTAAGTTTGCTCAGTTGAATTTCACCCTTCAGCCTGGATGAGAAACTTCCCTATGTTTACACTCTTAGAGTAACAAATATTTAACAGTAGGTCAAATCTTTGATAGTAGACCAACACACTTAGTGGTGTGCCTCAGACTCTCGGACTTCAGCTCATCCGTTTGAGGAAACACATCAGTGAAATCAAGAGCTAATATATCTATCCCAAAACATCCAGTCTTGATCCAAGAACTTGATAAAACAAAAACTGGTTAGTAAATATTTGTATCTATTCTGCCTCCTCTATAAAACGCACTCCAACTATACTGTAACAAATTGGGATGCCTCTTAGGAAAAACAGTAAGAAGGTGCCCAAACTGAATTTCCTTTAATACTGACCCACTAATTATTAATCCACCTTGTCTAGGTTTGGTGTGGTTCCTACAGACCGGAATATGCCAGCCAGTCAATAAAGACAGATGTTCACAGCCCTCTGAAATACAGGTGGGTTTTACCAACTTATTTACTAATTGATAACTAACTTGGTTCAACCCACTGCACCAATAGAGCACAAAAGGAGAGTGTAGCACCTTGCTAGCAGCTAAATTCTGACAAACAAGATAAAACTAGACTAACTTTCAGAATTTCTCCCATAGCTGGTAGGACACTGCTGAAGCGTGCGTTACTTTGCTTGGCCTGCTGAATTTGCCAACCTATAGAGAATGGACCAGAACCCAGACCCACTCTGTTTGTTCTAGCATTTAATTTATCATATTAGTTATTTTTCTTGTATATTCTGATACTGTAATTCAGTTTTGAGACTCTAAATCACTTTCTGGACATGGCTTTCTGTTTTCCAGAGCAACAATCTCCATGCACTGCATCCATGTACGTTCCTTCTCTTTGTTTAGGGTGATGGGATCTTTGCAGAACTTTGAAGCATTCTCAGAGGTGTTCCACTGTAAAAAAGGCACAGCCATGCATCCTGCAGAGAAATGCAGAGTGTGGTAACCAAAAAGAACACTGGCGAGAATGACACATACTCTGGTGACACAACAAACAGTTCTTGCCAGTGGTGTGCCTGACATTCTCCCCTTCAGTCACCGCCAAGGCCAATGGTGCAGCTACTGTAGTGAGGATCCAGGAAACCACGTCCCTGGAGCTCTCACAGTTCCACTGGGAAGTACACGGGTATCTCAGTGACTGACGGGCTGTGCTGAAAGCCACAGTATGCTCCAGAACAGAAATGACTGTTTCAAATGACATCCTGACTGTTATTAAGATACTGCATCAGGGTTACAAAGACTAATTCTTAAATAAAAAACAAAACCAACAAACAAGGATATATCTATTTTTCAGAAAGGAACAATAATTTTAATATGTCTTGCAACTACACCTTCTGAGACTCAGCAAACCTGTTTCAGATGTTTCACGGAACTGTTTTCCAGTATTCTGATTCAGTTTCTGGTGCGTTCTTCCCAAATCCAGGTTAGAGCTAGTTTAAACTCTCACGCTGTCTGTATACTTGCACTTCGATTACTGCTTTGTTGTAAGAGATTGCTATTTGTCTTGATACGTTACCAAGTGAGCTGTATGTTAAGATGTCTGTCAGCTGCTGACTTCCTGCAAGGCTGCACTCGAGTTCCTTTGCTCCAAAGAACAACTGTAACAGGACCTTAAAGTGAGGTATTACTAGATTGAAAGATCACGTTTTCAGGAGTACAAACTCTATTGTTATGGTTAAAATTACAAGGTCCCTCCCTTCAGATATATATTTAAAACGATGTTTATTCTTGTAGAAGGTGTATAAAATAATTTTGCCAAATAGCAAACATGTATCCATGGAAACAATTAAGCTGTTCTTAATCCTGTGCCTTTTTGTTTTGCCATAGGCTATTTTTCAGTATTTACATTTGAAAATGTAACAAGTATTAATTTTTAATAAAAAAAAAAAATCACAGTGGCCAATTCAGCAAGCATTTTACTATAGAGAGTTTTGGGTGGCTTTCCTCAGTAAGCACACTAAAATAATATTTTAAACTGCCAACACTTAACAGTGAATTTTAAATACTCCTCCAGACTTTCTAGCGCAGAAATCACTAGAAACCAAGACAGTAACTACTAGTGCTCAGCTTACAAAGTGCCAAATCACACTATTCATTTGCTTCACAGGTTTCAGCGCACCACTAGCAAAAGGTTTGATTACCTAAACAACAGGGAAGAAAATGAAAATCACTTAACAGAAGCAGCTTTAGAGATGACCCACTGCATTACTCTGGCCTTTTGACAATAAGAGCTGGCTAAATCACTGAATTAAACCCTCCTGATTTTTGCATGAATTTTACCTGCTAAAGTGAAATCAGTCTACACATAAATTGCTGCTTTTACTGTAGCTGAGAATATATAGTTCAATTACATTTTATTTCTATCTTAAAAGTAATCTTGGAAGATAACTTTCTCAGAGGATTGGTGCTACCTCAGGGATTAACCACTCTTCTATGCCCTTCAAGGTCTCAGAGTTAAGTACAGAAGGGAGAATAAATAGTAAGAGGGTTTAGTTGCAAGTTTACTCATTTAATCTCTTTTCAAAAGACTAAGAACAGACCGTTCAGCACCCACCAGCAGAGTTGCTTACTGCAAAGAACTACTCCACAAAGCATAGATTTTGGCTTTCAGCGCAGTTAATAACAATAGAAAAAGTGTTTCACATCTAATTCTTTTCTATGCTGCACCTCAGGTGACTATATATACTGACCTCTTCAAGGGAATGCAACTTGAATTACGTTTTGGTTGTGTGTTTATTTGAGCTGTGTGTCTGTTACCTGAGGAGAACTGCACTTGACCACATCGTTTCTAACAAAGATCCTGATTCAAGGCAAAATAAGTGGGAGGAAATTATATTTTTTTCAGATGGGAATTGTTGGATTCACAGACACAAGTACCTGAAAACCATAGGATTGATCCACACTAAAAAACAACAATACAGGAATGGTGGAGAGTGCATTGACAAGCTCCGAGACCCCTTTAAAAAAAAAAAAAAAAGTTACAATACTGCTTCCCTTTAAGTGACTTCAAAGCTCTTAAAGGAAACGTGGAGGTACAGAACCTGGCATGTGTGTCCTGCTCATGCCTCCATACAGTCTGAAGTCCTTCAGATGTTAAAACTTTTGGTTCTTCTGAGACACACCGTGAGATGTTTATGTGCTGTTACAGTTGGATAAGGTACTGTGTGCTCCTGGTACTTTACCTCAGAGCTGGGTTAGTTAAGAATACAAAACTCCCCAGATTCACAGTAATATTACTACACTTACTGTTTGTCTGTTTTGGAGAGTTCTGGTTCTCTCTGACACTGAACACCAAAACCTTTTGAAGTCAGACTTAATACTGCTACTAAAACACAGTGGAAGCAATTTCATATAATATCACAGTAAATCATCCACACGACTTTAACAAAGCGGATACAAGTTAAAGCTAGTTAGGAGGTAACACAGACCCTGCAAAACACAGATGGGCAGTAACTAATTTAGACATTAATCAAGGTTCAACTCAAATGATGACTAACCATGAGCTTCTGGCTCCATCCAGGACTACAACCGTGTAGTTAGATCACAGATGTAGCAGCAGATTGGTGAGATTCTGATGTCCTAATAGCCTTTATACCAATTTTATTATTTTCTGCCTACCTTCATTAGAGAGGCAAGAAGCCAATATATCAGTGATCTGGTGAGAATTATGAAGCCTAAATTCTGCATAACAACAGTGCTTTAAGATGTTTGCAACTGGATGTTGAAGACAAGCCTAATTATGTCCCATTCTGGTTTTTATTCACTTTAAAAGAGTTTTTGCTCTTGAATTAACCAAATGCTCAAGTCCCATGCCTTGTCAAAACTGACTGTCATACAGACTAGGTCTGCATTTGCTCCTGGATTGGATTACACGTGTAACAGGCCAGGGTCTTTATTTTTCTAAACTGCTCTTTATCTGTATAAAAACTGACACGGTCCACAGCACTCCTTAGTATGAAACGATGTCCAAGCTTTGTTCTGGCCATTAAGGTTCACCTTTCTCATCACATCTAAAACTGATGTTCATAGAAAGATCATTTGAGTACTGTTTCCTAGTGGAAGGATTTTAATTTAACATTAAATGACTGGTTACAAGACAGTCAAGTGCTCTGACAAATCAGCTTTTGTTATTTAATTATTTGTGTATGGTGGCAGGCAAAATAAATGGTATTTAACTACCTTTTGTCCATCTTCACTTACTCAGATCTTCCATGGCAGATTGCACGCATACAGTAAAGCTAAATTTCATGGTCAGGTAATAACTTTTTCCCTTGTGTAGCTGATGTTTTCATGTGGCACTTCCAGAAAATTAAGTTGGCCCAAGTGCCTTCCTTTCCTCTGTCCTCACATGCCTTTAACAGTTGGGTGTTTACAGTGCAACGGACTCTCTAAGAAAAGTTGTCCTGGCCTGAGATGCCTTTAATATTTGCCCCCTACATATCACAGTAATAGATCCCTGTTTGCTCAGCTTGTTCTGAGGAAAATGAGTTCTCCTGGGACTTCTCGGGGCAGCTCTGCTATGCTGTGAACGTACAGTCCCCTTCGCCAGCTTCTGCTCAGAGATTCATCCTAACAGGTAGGTCTAGATTAGCCTGATAATCCCAGATTTCCTAACAAGTTCAGGTAGTTTGCCTGCCATCATGAAAATGTTTTTATTCTAGGGTTAGTAAGAAGATAGTGACATTTTAAATACTACACTGTTCAATAGTTTAACTCATTAATGAAGTTGCCGCTAACAGTACCTCAGGATAAACTGCAATTGAAATTCTTCTTTAAGGACAGAAAAATTAGGTACCCTACATCTTCTAGCAGCAGAATATCAGAAAAAAAGAAGCAAATTTGAGGAGGAACTTTTTAATGTAAAATCTAAGAGACAATACATGGAGGGGGGAAAAAAAAATTACATCAACTATTGATTGACAATGTGAACGTTATCTCAAATTCAAGGACGGAATCTGGCACAGTACCTTTTACATATAACACTTACTCGTATTTGCAAGGGTCCAGCTATCATACAAGACTATTACTGCAAAAAAGGAAGTTTACCACAAATAGGGAGTAACAGAACAAAGATACTCCTTGCCGGCTGCATTTTTGCTTAGATATTTCATGCTCCTGTTTTTTGTTACAAGATGTAGACCTCTTCATTGCACTGTAAGAAATACAGAAATAATTATGGTTAGGGAGCAGGGTATATAGCCCAGTATGTTCCCAACATGCTGGCAAGGTCCCTTGCTCACGAGGCAGGTCACAGAGTCATACACAAGAACAAAAGCATGAGATTATGGAAGAAAATAAAACAAAGTTGTGTCCAGTAATGCAGTGCTATTAACTGTTTCAATTGGACTAGCTAATATCAACTTAGCACGTACTCTACAGATAACAGATATGGTCCTAGGGCTAGTTGGATTTGCGTATCTAAAAGTACAAGTTATTGTGCTTTGTGACCATATTCGTAGCACAGTTCTGGCCTTGCGAATTGCTTTCTTATATTTCTTCACTTGAGTCTTAGCAGAGGGACTACGAAACTGTCTGATACGAGATTGTCAGGCAGTCACTGCCTACCGTGAGGGAGCTCAGGAAAGTGCCAACAGTATATATGTGCCAAGCAAGGGAAACAGCACAAAACCATGCAGAGGTCAGGTGGAGGAGGTTCACACGGCTGACAATTTAATTACTCTGCAAAATCATTAAGCTCTGGAGATGTGCCATTAGAAGTTCTGGCACATACAACTGTTAAAGGGATAATTAAAAAGTGCCTGGGAGGTTTTATTCTGAGTTATTATTACAGCACATGGAAGTTACTTTATTTTTTCATGTAAGTTTATTACACCTCCCACCTGCAGAAGACTCTTTCCATCTGCCGCTCTGTGTCTGTGCCAGCACAACCCGAGCGCGTAAGCTACAACCTCCCTTCACAGTCCCACGCGTGTCCTTCTATTTTACCCCTCTGGCATTCACACCTCCCCTCTCCAGTTACAGCCCCCTACATCCCACTAGCTACCAACAACCCTGATGAAACAAGAACTGAGACAAGAGAGAGGCTCGAAACAACTAGGAAATGGCACTCCCTGTTAACCACTTGTCCTGGTCACAGCTGGAATAGAGCTTATTTTTTTTTCCTTCTTAGTAGCTATAATAGTGCTGTGTTTTGGATTCAGTATGGGATTTGATATGAGAAGAATGTTGGTAACATACTGATGTTTTTAGCTGTTACTGAGAAATCGACGACTTTTCAACTTCTCTTTTCCTATCTCAGCCAAAACCAGGACATCACTGTGTTACTTTTCCATAATCATGTGCACAAGGGTCACAGAAGAGATGTGCCACCACAAGTGAGAAACAACTCAAGATAAGGACAGGGGCAGCAGCGGAGTTTCACTGACCTTAGCCTATCAGTGAGCGAACATCTACAGAGAGATAAATGCAGAGGACATTCAAATTCAGATTGTGGCTTGTGAGCAGGGTCTGTTGCTGTGCGCTTCAGTCACCACGTGGCATTAGGTTTCCATCTGACACCTGTGCCCTCCGTAAGCTTCCCTCCCATCTCAGTTTAACACAACTGCCAATTCAAAGTGAAGAGCAGAGATGATGAAACCTCTCCAGTAAGACCCCGGGGTCCTGACCAGACCGAGCTTCAAAAACCTTCAGTCTGTCAAGTCAGGTTTTCCAGCGCAGCTTGTCGGCATCGCGTGGTACAACCGGTCACCCTGCGGCGCAGCCGTTGCGCGGCACTCCCTGCCATCCCGCTGCTGCGCTGCACGCTGCCAGCGGCAGCTACACGCTCGGTTTGTGAACACCCCTGGTAGTGACAGAACACAGCTTTACAAGCACTCCCAGTTTGAGAGCCAGCATTGGGAGCAGAGGGACCATTTGCTGTGCTAAGACACTGGTTAGCATTTATCCCCTGATCAGGTAAAGTTTAAGCTACAGCTGGTTTCCCCAGCTCAAAACAGGACAGCAATTCCAGCTACAAGCACCATCTGCCCCTACCTGAGGCTTTATACTTTCCTCAGCAGTTGCAATGACTGACTTTTCAGTTGTTTCCAAAGGAACAGAGTCACCTGGGGAGTCCTGTACAAGACCATCTTTTCTCCACCTGCACAAGTAAATAATGTATTTAGTGTTGGGTAAGAATTAAACTGTTTGTCCCTAAAACAATGTCTGTAATATTTTTTTAAAGGAATTCCCAATAATCCAGAGCTGTCACTACTGAAACAGGGCTTACGCTTTCCAGGAAGGAACAAGATGCCTATATCATAACGTGCCGAGCTTTCAGACGTGATTCTCCACACGCATCGTGCCCTCCCCAAACCAATGCAACCTGTCAGACAGCAAGACTGACACGCACACAGCACTCCACCATTTGCAGTTGCTTCCAGGCTAAGTTATGTATCACATATGTTCTTATGTCTCGGGCAGAGACTCTGGTGAACAGCCTCCGTTTTAGCCCCCCCTAGCACCCCTCACCCCCAAGCACAACAGAACACCTTAGTAACTCAGACAGTAGACAAATACATGTAACCAGACAGAAATCAGCAGATCCTGCAGAAAATACTTCAGCCTAGTGGAAAATTCTGTACCCAGAGGTTTTTTGTTGCAGATCTGATTCCATTTTAGACTCACAGTCAATTAAGCACCAGAGAAGCTTTATTACCTACCTAGGAAAAGAAATATTCAGGCGTTTTCCAGAATGAGAGAAAGATGAAGTCTTTCCTTCTCTCATGCTGCCACCTGGTGACAAATCAGGCTACAACTTCTAAAACAGACCAAAAGACACAACTGAACATTAGCAGGTTTCTTCAGACTCCATCAAACACACACTTGCTGTAGACATTAAACACACTGCTGCTATGGTAGGCACCCCAAAAAAATTTTTCTTAGTTTGTTGATTGCTGATCCTAGTCTGATGCTGCATCCCATCTCTTTACCTGACTCTGCAAAACTCCCAGCTGCAAACTGAAGGCATAGAAACCAAGAGTTCCTACCCAGGCTCAACTGCCTTTTAAATTTTAGTACCTTTTAGAGGGTCTTTCCAATGGTCAGCAGGACAAACTTTGTTTCTCAAATCAGCAAGAAACACAAGCTGAAATGTTATTTGTGGTGTTGGCTCCAGAATTCCAATTGTAGGTTACCTCTTCCTACAAGTCTTGCCTCTCCAGTCTCAGGAGTTATGAAACAGCAAAGTTTCTGCGCTGTTTTAGATGTGCATCTCTAGTTTCTGATGATCTAATAATTATGGGGCTGCAGGACAGGTATTTCTTTGCAAAAAACATCTTGGGAGCAATTGCTGCCTAAATACTACAATAAATCCCTCCTCCAAATGACAACACTGAACAGTAATATTTAACTCCTCTCCCTTCTTAAGATCTTAATCTCCTTTCACAGCTGTTTAATTAAAATTTCATATCAGTAAAAAGTAATACTGAATAACTTAAGATCCAGAGTATGCCAAAACAATAATTTAAAAATCACACCAGCTCTAAGGCAACCAGACACCCATGGTCCAGCAGCAGCCTGTCAGCACACCTGCAGCACCTATAATGGTTTACATGTGTCTAGCACCTGTCTGCTGAGGTTTACAAAGTGCTTTACAAACACTAATTAACCCAAGGTGAGAATTAGCAGATCTGGATTATGCAGAGACGAGCAGCAATGAAACCTTCAAAACCTGACCACCACCATACTGAGAGAAAGCTCTGTGCCCACCAGAAAGCCAGGCACCATGTCAGAAACGGTACTGCCAGGTCACCAATTGCACAATTCGCATTTTTGGAAGAAAACAATGTACATGTCAGCCAGCAAGGTACTGAGTAACACCTGCTACCTGTAAACTGAAAGAAGTGCTGGGAGTTGCAAAGCTGTAAGATTTGAAGTCTGTTCAAAGCCACATGTATCACTAGTGCAGGTGCAAAAGCAGGATGCTACTGCTGCCAAAGTAAGGCTTCAACAATAAGATTGAGTCATTAAAGGTTAAAAAAGCCAGAACTTACCCCAAGGTTGGCATGTAGCACAAAGGAGGCTGAAGTTTCCTTGTCACTATTCTCTGAACTCTCTCCATTTGGGGTTTTTGGTTTTATCTTTAAAGTTTGCTCAAGAAAACTTTTCATTAAACAGTAGAAGTAACCCTTCATGCACAAGTGTTGTGGAGGAACAAGCAGTGGTTAACAACTAGCAGATGCTACAGTCAGCCAAATGCTGGAAAACATCCAACCCCATGAAACATTAAACAGCTACCAAAGAGTTAATGTAGAGAAAAAAGGTCGGAAAAAAACCCCAAAGTGTGTTTGCCCAATGCATTTCACTATTGTTCATGGTGACATACTCAGCAAGTTGTACCAGACCAGCCACAAAACTGGCAAACACAGCAAGTAGTAAAGCATTTACTGGGTGCCACTGGTATTTTCAGAATGACATGTTAGAACCGCCTTACCAACTTGTCACAGTTGAGCACTGAAAGTAAAACTGATTCTAAACATGCCATAAAGTCAGGGCTTGTTAAGTTCTTTTTGCGTGGCTCTCAGCAGATGCACAAGAAACAAGAAATGCTGTATCTCAGTTTCAGATACTTTCAGAACTTCGACATAAAAACAGCCAGGAGTTAAAAAAAAAAAAAAAAATGTAGACTATGCCCTTCCACGATTACTGTAACATAAAGGTTTCATAAAGATGACTTTTATTGTGATTTTAAAAACACTAAAAAAATCACAACATCAACTTTATCCATAGAACTTTAACAGAAAATAATTCTTCATGGACAGATCTGCATATATACAGCAGAAATTTTAAAAGGAATTTTAAAGCATTTGCTAAAACCTTTAACTTTCTGTTGCTTGCAACTTGATTTTACAATAGACCTGCATTTTGTATAGCTACTTGTAGCCATTCTTACAAAATGCAGAGTTTCTGAAACATCACCTTACCTTGCACAAAAATACAGAACATGCTGCTGAACAAACTAATATAGTTTTGGGGGTTTTTAATGAAGAAGTTGTCCATCATATTTTCTCTAAGCAAAAAGGCAACCACCTCTCATTTTTCTTCCATTCCTCATAGTCGTGTGGGGAAGAGTTATGCGAGTTTGCTGATCAAAGAGCAGTGCTCTCTAGATCCATGGCCTGGGTGCACATGAATTCGAGGGACTGCCTGCATTAATGCAGCAAAAACACAGGCAACCCGTGTCGATTACTGCAAACTGTCCTCACGCCTCCCTTCCACCCCTCTGCTCTTCCTCGGCATCATTCAAAATGGAAATGCCAAGACACCTCCCATGTCAGTCTCTCTAACCCCACTGCCCGTTCCCCAGTGCCCTGGGCAGAACAGGCTCCTCACCCTGACACTGACGCTTTCGCAGCTCATCTGGGGATCTGCTCATTCCATCACCCCCAGTACCTCCTCCCAGGCATCCCACTGCACCCATCCTGGGCCTTCTCTGTGCCTCTCTCCATCTTCTTCTACATCTCATCTTATATACCATTCTTCAGCTGATAAACAAAGCAATACTATCCTCACCAAATCCTTCCTCAAAAATCTACATCCATCATGATGCCCTTTAAGAATAATGCTTTTCCTTAAGATAATGCCAACAGCCAAGCAACCCGGTGTTTCCCCTTCTTCATGTAACTGGAATGTAGTTTTAGAGTGTGTTTTCATTAGTAAGAACTTTACTTCTAGACATGATGTTCACACAGACCTTAACTTTGTCATAAACACATGATCGCAGATTAGAGCAGAGGTGACTAGCAAAGGATGGTAAATGTGTAGACATCATTCGTGAGATTACTAAAAGCTATTTTCCATTAGTATTTTCCTTACTTATAAAAGGAAAAATATATACAAAATACATCTGGAAAACGTGTTGTGTATTAGTTATATGGAATCTTTAAAGTGAAAAAAAAGCTATTTTTTTTCCAATGACAAATATATCTTGGGATAATTACATGCATACCAAGTGGTAACTGTCCAAATTGGTAAGAAAGAAACTCCGGACATACCACACAGCCCACTGGTCCATAAAGGGGGATGTAAAAGGAAGGAGCTTTACAACCTCTGACGATGCTGACCAACATCTTGATCACTCAGCTATTTTACACTTCAGTACTGAAGATGCCATTTGGCTACTTCCTTAGCTCCTCTGCAGATCCTCCTTTTCATTTCAAGCTGTCTTTTTCTCCATGAATATTTGGAAAAAATGTCAGTCAGGCTTTTATTGTTGGGGTGTTGTGCGTTTTGCAGGTTTTTGTGGTTGTTTTTTTGGTTTTTATTTCACCATCTCCATTGTCCAGAATAGTTCAAACAAAAATGGTCATTCAGGCCTGGTTTCTTTAGGATCGGCACCGGTTTCCTGCACAGGAAGAGTTGTTTGATCCTCATTTTCCACGGTTAGTATCAAAGCCTGACCCTGCTGTCCACTCTTTAAAACATGTCAAAGGAAAACACAGAGTATGAGGAGTCAGCCTTTATTAGCAAATGCCTGCTATTTTCACTACTAACAGCCAGACTTTTGCTCCTCCCTTAAGAGCAAGAGTCACTTTAGGTCCCCTCTCAAATCAGAAGTGCAAATTATACTACAGTTCATTCAGTGTTTTTCCTGTGAAAGTCTGCACAGATATCAGATCTTGCAAATCACTTACAGGAACTTTTAGGGGATACATAATACTGTAGGATGGAGAGATAAACAAACACAGTTACATATTCAGACTTGTATTTTTTAGTAGGAGTCTATCTCCTAAATCCCCTTAGATATTAATTCTTAGACAACGGCAAGAGATAAAAACGGCATTTGGCCTAGAGCCCAAGCCTCCTAACAAGAATCACATAAAATGGGTTTATACTGCCTTGTCTTGGGGATTCTGGAACTCACAGACACTCCCGGTATCCACAAGCTGCCCATCAAACACATAGCACACACATACACTAACCAAAAAAACCTATTTCGGATTTCAACATATTCTTTAAAAAAAAAAAAAAAAAAAAAGTAGATACTCACTCCAGATTCCTGCACCGCTGCAAAGAAAAGGAAACAGTCCCATCAAAATGCAGTAAGGTGAACTTTATACTACTGCATTTTTCTAATCATGTTATCTTGTTGTTACATGTATGCAGCGTGGTTCAGCAGTGAGCCTGCACAGGCACAGCCCTCTGGCAGGCATCATTACAACAGGTTAACTGTGGCACATGAAAACACAAGAGATTTCCTTACAGTTCACCTCTAATTGGCTATTAAGGTTTCAGCTCAGCATCTAGTGAAACAAAGACCATTCTTCAGAATACCAACTATCACAAAACTACCCTTTTATACACATGCTATACATACTTACGTGGCGTGTAAACTTTCCTTTTCTTCCTCTGCCAGATATAGATGCTGGTAAGGCCAACTGCAACAACTAGTATGGTTCCAAGAACAGAACCAACAATTGCTTCAGCAGAGGAATATGAGGAAGGATTCCCATCCTCTCCTTGTACCCAGCCGTTCTCCCTAAGTCTGATGCGAGAAAAGAAACAATTGCATTCTTAGAACCTGTCAGCAGACTTTGTAGTGGAACTGCTGTACCGTTTTTAACATCACACCTCCACATCCAGGGGCATTCACAAAGGTCTTTCTGACTTGGTGGGTAATTCAAGAAGATGACTTTGTTTTAACGCTTGTAAATGCAAATTGATCCTCCTCAGAAGCAAACTCTCACCTGTTACTATAGCTAAGGGATGTGTCAGCTGAAACCCAGGTACCCAGAGGAGTGCACGGCTCCTCACAGATCCAGATCCAGCTCTGTTAGAGCTGCCTGAAAGTCTCCTGTGCAGTGACAAGTTAGGACTGAAGAAGCTGAAGGCTAAAGCTGTCGTGTTAATGAGTTTATAAAGACAGAAGTTAAGCTGTTCCCAAGAAAGACTGGGTCACAGGAATGGGATTCCACAGTCAGTGCCTTTCTAGAAGCAGGAAACTGCTGTTTCAAAGCCAGCAAAATGCAGACCCAACAGTTAGAGCACAGGCCCGTGCCCATAATGAGCACGAGCTGCTTACCTGGACCACGGTGTACAACTGTAAGACATGTTGGCTATTGAGGAGGTTCCAGGAGGACAGGCTTCACACACATTGTCAGTGGTCTTTGTGCCTACAAGGGAGAAGGTGACAGGATTTCTGTCTGCACCTGTGGCTCAGGAGAGCTTCAGTTCAGTCGTAAATGACCGAGTGATGGTCACAGGCTCTTCACTACAGACAAAAAGCTCACACACTTCTGTATTTGCAGACATGAAAAATGCATTCTTGGCCACATCAACTGCCCCAGCATCTTTGATTTACACAGATCCTGAAAGCTTTCAGCTGCACACTGGTTCTCTGACAATTACAGTCAGTACAGCAGACCAGTATATATCATACGCAGTACACGCTGGCCCTATTCATACACACTGATCCTTCACTGATTTTTTCCTGGATGAACTGACAGCCAGCCTCCTCAAAATGAGACTGCAAAGGCCTTCCCCGTAAGAAAGTTTGGCTTTTGGTGTTACTGATGCTATGTTGGCTTACCCTTTTCTTTTACCATAGTGCCAGGAAAGCAGACAGTGTAGCGTTGACAAAGTTCACAGTCTTTGGTCCCAAAATAAGTGCAGAAATATCCAGGCATACAGCCACACACAGTATTCTTCGTATAGGTACACGCTACTTCTGGCACTAGGTTGGCTCCTAAGAGAAATGTATGTGCACAGCCACAGTATTTACATGGGTACAATCAACAGATACAAAAGCAAAAGCGAACATTTAGCCTTGCCTTGATGCACTGGTGGATTCACCAGAACTAACAGCACTAATGAAGGTGACTCCTTTTCTGACATATAAAGAGAGCCCAGTTCCTCACAGCATCCTGGGTCACATTTACATCTGTCCTACGTGTTGCATAGCAAAACCAAAACTATTCCAAGACAGCTCTTTAGACATCATGCTGCAGTCTAAATAAGCCTTTAAAAGTTCAGAGAGAGGCTGCAGATCAAAGTTCCAGAGGTGCCAGTGGAAGATCCATGCCAATTTTTCCCATCCATCAGCCAACTAGCATTCTGAGGCCTGCATAGTGACATGAGCCTCTCTGTTTCTCACACTTTAATCATCAAGCAAATGAGGCAAGAAAGGAGAAGGGGAGAATGTGTCCAAGAAAGGCATGAAAAATCCATTTAAACTGGCTCTTCAGCATCCTCCTTACCTTTATCACAGATTTTACATTTCCTGCAGTGTTCTGAACCATTGGGATCATCTGCGTATGTATCCCCTACACAAGGTATGCATGTTGTACTGGAATTTGCAGTGCAATGCTTGAAAACCCGAAGTCCTATAAACCAGAAACAACGTCGGAAACAAGTGGCTCCGTCAGCAAAGTTTTAGCCAGGGCGTGCCGCTAGCATTAAGCCGCCCGTAACTACAAAAAAAACAAGGGCCTCGGAAATACCCGAAAAGCAGCTTCAGAAATAATCCTAAAGCAGAAGGCAGGGCACAGAATCGAAGTGCTTAGATGTTTCGAAGCTGCCGACTACCGCAGCAGCGGCTCGAAGGAAGGGACAGGGCCCTGCGCTGCCCGAGGAGGTGCCGGCGGGGTGGCCCCGCGGCCGTGATGAGGGAGAGAGGAAGGCTCCCTGGTGAGCCCAACGTTACCTACCCGGAGCACACATGGGGCAGCACCCAGAACCCACGGGGTATTCGTACGGCCGACAGTCCGGGGCGTTCGCGCCGTCCAGCTGCATGACCACCACAACGGAAAAAACCTTTGGGGCGACACAAGAACCGATCTCCACCCCGCCGCTTGCCGGCCGCCATCTCGCACACAGCTGGGGGGGGGGGGGGGTGTTGTTCTGCCGAGCAGCCCCCACCGGGGCCGCTCCCCGTCCCCCCGCAGCCCCCCCAGGCGGGCAGCCGGCCCCGACCCCCCCGCACTCACCAGGTACATGGTCGGGAGAGGTGGGGCCGCGGCCCCGGGCCCCGCCGAGGACGAAAGCGAAAGCGGGGGGGGGACGGGGATGGGAGGAAGCGGGAAGCTGCGGCTGGTGTGGCTTAATCCCGCGGCGGGCCCGACTCGCGGGGGTGGGAGACCCGCTCGGCCTCTGCCCGCTGCGGCGGGGTGGGGAAGAGGCGGAAAAGGCGATAAAACGCCTCAAAAACCTGGGCTTGGCGTCGTCAGCGCGTTCGCGAGCACACGGGAGACCTACCAGGGAACCACCGGCTGTTGGGGAACGGTGTGGAGGGTGCCCGAGGGAGAAGCGATTTGGCTGAAAAGCCGATCGCCCAAATCGGCTGTTAGAATGGGTTCAGGTTCCTGCGGCGCCTCCTGAGTGTTTTTTCAGCGTTGGTGAGCTGGATTGCTTAAGCCAGTTCTGGTTTTTGCTCAGCTTCAACCTCCCAGCAGATGTTTTGAATTACCAAAAAGCGTAGGCCGTGTTTAAAAACGGATGTTGTCACGAATAGTAAAAATGTTGTTGAGATTGGACACTCTTCCTCGAATACTACAGGGGAGCAGTCTATGCAAATGCAGGTTTCCCTCTCTCTCTTTTTGAAGAAAAAAAGAGGAAAACCAAAAAAGTGGAAGTACTTGTTTCTGAAATGAGTGGGCAGCATTTCTTGCAACAGGACGCGGCAGGAGAAGACTTGCAAAGAAATGAGCTTTTTGTCAAGGCCTTTGACGAGTTCAGAACTGGAGTCTCTCATGGAGCAGGCAAGCAGACTTGCAAGACAAGGGAGCTCTACATCTGCTCCTCTGGCTGAAAACGGCTCAACTAGAATGCGTCAGGGATTGTATTTTCAGTCCACATCTGTTAAAAGTCAGCTACATGCCTGCGTAGCAAAAACAGCTAGATTAAGAGGTGTCACAGTCTGTTATTAGCGTTTCGTAATTCTGCTGACACCCCACTTTTTCAGGGCAAGCACGGCCGAGATGCCCAGTCAGTTTAACTGGCACCAACCAGCAGTGCTGCTGGAAGAAGACCGTCTCCTTTCAGTCCCATACCACCACACTACAAGTACACATGAAGCAAACAGTGATTGGGAAGTGGCTGAGACGAGAATTAATCCTGACGAGCAGGTGGAAGGCTCGGCTATAACATTAGTTTCAGTCCTCCGTGCCCCAGCCTCTTTCACTACGCGGCTGCAAACCCCTCCGGGCAGCTGCAGGAAGGGGGGTGCTGGGGGTGGCAGTGCTTTTGCTTCCCTGTGTCACGGCACGCAGTGAGCCAGAGGTGATGCCAGCGCGGGCTTTGGAGCTGCTGGGGACGCCAGGCCCTGGCACACACTCGCTGGCCGTGACGTGAAGCACAAGCCTACAGACACTGGGGCCTTCTTATCAGTCCTGTCTCTAACTTCCATCGATGGTGCATGTAGTTTGCTCATCTTTTCCCCTGATTTTCAGGCAATTATGCTAACTTTTGTAGCTATTTGGGATGGACAAAATAAGCTGAAAGAAAGCAAAAGCTCCTTTAGACATGAAAAATGGGGAAGTACAATTATGAAATATGAATGTTAAGCTTCCTTTTTTAATAAAGACAGAGGCTGGGGGTTTCTAGATTTGGTGGCTGTGGGACAGAGTTACTTACTTTTCTCCACTGTACAGCGATCACGGGTAGTCTGTTGACATGAACGGATTTTACCATACAGCAGCTGCCTCAGTTTCCTACACATCACCACTTCGTTTCCACTGCTTCTGGTTTCACTTGACGCAGCAGGTCACGCTTCTCTTACAAAGGACAACTGCTGCTCATGTGGCAGTAGGGTCTGAGCTTGCTTCACCTTGCCTTGGAATGGGTTTGACAAGTCAAAATTCATTGGCATTATCGCATTTGCAACAGGATTTTCACTGTTAGAATCCTCTCGGGCTGTGGCCAGCATTCAGCACTGATATAACACTAACATTTTAGGCAGGAAATCAGTAGTGCTGTCTACCACTGTGATCTAACAGCAGCTGGGAAAACCAAGGGGCCGTCCTGCTTAAAGTACAGTTCATGCCTCGGTGGGAAGTACATATTTAGCTCAGCGATCTTCCTGTAATCAGGTCATTCCTGACTTGTCTCCCTAACTGCTGACCAAGTTTGTTTGTTTGTTGTCCCCCCCATGTCCCTATCACCATTTCAGAATCCAAAACCCCTGAGCCTGGTGTAGATTCATACCAGCTTCCATCAGACTCCAACAAGCACAGATTGGTTGAGTCTGGTTCTTCACAAGCAAAAGGACTTTCCTGGGTGTTCAGGTACAGAAATGCCGCCCTGGACAGCTGAAGGACAGCAGATATTGTCTTCAAATGATTTAATACCGATTTACAGGATGTAAGAAATAATAGGTCCTGAGAGAAGCCTTTTAGGACTATGAGGAAGGCAAAGACCTCCCGCGCCTTCACACCACTATCCCTTCTTTCACACGTGCACACAGCAGCACCCTTAGTCCAGGATTTACCTTTGCAGGTGCCATGTATACAGCTAGTGTTCAAAGGTATCCCAGAGCTGTGTGCCCTTGATCACTCCTGAGAAGGTTAAATACCACCAGTCTCATTCCTTAGTTTTGTTGTCATTGGTAGAAGGCACAGGGAGCCTGGAACTTACGATAGCAGCAGTTGTCTTGTGCTTTCAGGAGGTTTTTTAACCACTTATAATTTAACCAGTGTGTTTGCTTTTTTGGACTGAAATAAAACAGCTGTGCTCTTTAAGTGCAGATACCTCTACTGGGAAAAAAAATAATCAGTAGACAACGCAGCCTGTTTGAGAATGAAGAGAGATACGTTTCCTGTTGTGATCAAATATGCTTGTGAGCAGTGGAACTTAGAAGGACAAGTTTCCTGTAGCTGTATGTCTTACACTCAAAGTATTTTGTACCTGATAGGGTAGCACTGATCAAAGCTTGTTTTGTGGCAGAAAGAACTTGTAACATTTCTCTCCTCTTTGAATTCTTCAGTATACAGCAATAAAGGTGAGTTCCTGTTGCTGTCTTTCCCTTAAGGGACTAGCAAATTTGAATCTCCCGCTCTACCTAGTTGCCCATTTTCCCTGAACTCATGTCAGCATAATATTCCTGAGACCTCTGACTGTCTCTTAGGTTATGTTGAAATTGCCTGTCAGCCTCAGTGGTTTGTTTCTTTTTTTTTTTTTTTTGCTCCTGTTTTGCTAGCAGCACCAGCATAGCATTGTATGTTTCAGTTTCCCCAAGCAGGCAATGTGAGACTGAGACATAGAAGATATCTCTATTAAACGCACCAGAGACAAATGAGGTCTGCAGCATCCTGGAGTGACCAGACAATTCGTTCCAAATTGGTTATGGTTTTCCTGCTCTTGTGGGTTTTTTCTGCGAGCATCTGAACCACCAACTCTTACAAATTGGTACTGCAGGTCTCTACCTCTTCCTTGCCCCAGGACGACTGCACAGCAGGGTATTACAAGCTGACTTAATTTATGCTGATGTCTTAATTCCTACTGACCAACACACATGCTGTTTCCTCATATGATTGTACAAAATATTGAGCAATTTTTTATTTGAGCCACACTATGCAGTTCATGTGATACTGTAGTCAGTAGATCCTGTGGCAGCAGTATTCAATTTACGAGATGAGACAACAGCATTCCTGTAACTAGAGATTCCAGTGTCGGGTTTGGGAAGATCCATGTACAAGCACTTGGCCAGGAGCTTCCACGCAGCAAGGGCATTGCGAGGTGTGGAAGGCAGAGCCCCAGGCAGGGCTGGAATCAGAGCCTTCATGTTAGGAGGGAAGGAAGAGGGGAAAAAAAAGCAACCCTCGATCTTGGGCAGGGGATAAGAAAGGATTAGTTCAAGGCTAAGTAACAGGAAGTCTGTTTATGAACATCTGTTAATGCATCTCCTATTCTTGCTTGATTGTGGAGCTGACAGGGGCCAGAGCCACCGTCCCATCTGCACCTGTCTGAACCTTCTCTCTGGTTCCAGTCCAGAGTTGTAATTCCAGATCAGGAATCCTGAATTCACCTCAGTTCAACATCCATCTAACACTGGATTATGCAGTGTGATGGTTGCTTTGGGACAGCACCTACAGGGTGTTCTCCACCCAAAGGGCATTGTTAGATTTCTGTAACTCAGGTATCTCAGTACACGGGCTGGTGACTCGTACTTACATGGGAATTTTTTCTGGCTGGAGAATGGAAATCGGTTCTATCACTGTCACATCATGACATGCTCAGGTTTACATTCAGATGTCTAATGCCTGGGGCTGAAGACTCTGCAGAAGACCTTAACTGCTTTAAGAACAGCACTCTTCTGCATCAGGGTTCCGATACAGATAATCTGCATGCAACCTCCGTGCATTTTGAGAGTATGGGTGAGCACGTGAAGACTGTACATTTATTTTCAGAACAGGATCTACCAGCTACAAAGGTGATGTGGGTAATGCTGAACTTCCATTAACACAGGCAATGTCAAATTCTAGTCCTTTCAAAGAAACCCAACACAGCATTATAAGTGTGTTTCCAATAGTGTACTGGTCTATGGTCCAGCCATCCTGCACATTGTTAAACCTTCATTCCCTGTTTATTTTAGTGGGGTTTTTTCCCAGTGCTTTTTTTCTGCTGTAACATCATGACAGACCCACATAAGCCACCTGAAAAATGTGGCCAGAATTAAAACTAATATTCCCTAGTACCTATAGCGAAATTAAATTACTCCAATTTAAGTGATATGAAGGCATTGAACAGATAAAACTCTTTGTTTCTTCTAACTTTGGTTATATCTAAAGCTCTAGTTTTAGGAAGCATCAATAAAAGAACACATAAGTGCGTGTCAGTAATATATCAGTGGTGTCTTTTCAAAAGGTCTCCTGCATGAAAATGTTGAGTAACATTTTGTGTGGGCAGAGCCTTCAAGTGTAAATGGAAACAACAGACCTGCAGAGTCCTAAACTTTACAGCATCACGAACTTGTTTAAATTATCCTTTACAGATACAGTTCAAATACTAGAGAGAGAAGCGATAGAAAGTAGCATTTGCACCAGATTACACAACTCCCTACATCGATTTTATGCTTCATCAAATTACTCTATTCATCTGTCCACATACAAACAACTACAGTGTCATACACCGAAACTGGGAGGTGGAAAAAATTTTAGAAAGTCTCCAGAACTGACTGACATCCGGTATCTGACCATTGAAACAAAGTAAACAAAAATCACATGAAACACAGGCTTGAAAACCCCTAAAATTCTGCTTGAACTGACTTAATTCATCCAAGGGGACAGTAACAGTAACTGTGACCCCTGGTGGCTAAAATAAAATTTTTAAAGTTGAAAGATCTTTTATACAATTTGCAAGGGCTTTAGCTTCCTAAAATTGTATTCATACTGCAATATTAAAAATTGTATATAAAGAATGTTTTGCAGTAAGGACCTTTTAAGTGTTCTACAATACTCTTGACAATTGTTTTGCATCATTATAGAAGTTTATATAGCAAGTTCTCTGTATCGCAAACCAATTCATTTGCTGGATAACAGTAACATCACATCATTATTACTGTTACTATTTACCTTATAGCAACATCTCAAATCCCCAAATGAAATTAAAGTATCACTTTACAAAGTTACTGCCAAGAACCACAAAGTAAAAGAGTTTGTAGGAACTCTCAATGGTATCTCCTACCACGGACTCCAAATTCCCTATTACAATAAAATGCATATATAAATATATATATATATATATATATGACAAATCAGTGATAAAATGTGGCAGAAAAAATCGTTCCTTGTCATAACAACAGACAGATGACAACCTGTATAAACAAGCAATATGTGATTTCTGGCTAACGTAACTGGATTATGTATTTCTGGCCAAAACATCCCATAACTTCATATGTAAATTGCCGAACTATCACGTTTCTTTCCTCAAAAGATAATGTTTTTCACCTAAGTTTGTGCTTGCACAAACCTAGTTTATTATCGTAGGGAAGGAATTTGCACTGAGCCTGGTCGGAGGGCAGACTAGGGATGTTTCCTGTTGTAGTAGAGCACAAGTTTTTTTGTTTTTTTTTTTTTTCCCAAATCCTGTACTGCTGTTTCATAAGTGCCTCTGTTCCACATGAAAGAAATAGAGCTGTCCACTTAAGACATGCAACTAAGAGGAGGATCTTGGCTATTCCTGCTGACCAATATCCTGAACTTTCTGAAGAAATCATGCTTGCAATAGCAACTGAGAGGTTTGGGGGTTTTTTAATGTTAAGAGCATATAATTTAGAAATTCATTAATCACTGTGAGGAAATAAGGCTCTCTAGGAATACCTTTTTCTATTCTACAGCCTTTTTTGCTGAGGGCAGAGACCAGCTCCCCCCACTTAAGTCAAGGTCCTGGCTTTTGGGAGGGCCCAAACCAGCATGAACCAGCACAGATACATTGCTACCCAAGGAAGCGAGCCAGTGGCCAAACAGGCTGAGGGAGGGTAAGGAAGCCTCAGCTAGAGAGATTTCCTCCTTCACTACAAATTTCCTTTGTGATCTCAGGCCAAGTAAATACAGACAGTGCCAATCACTGCTCCACCTGAGTTTCTGTTCCTTCTGTATTGATACCCAAAGCAGTTTTAAAGAAGCTGCCTTTGGTAGAGAGCAAAACCATTACCACCCAAAGCTGAGCACAACCCAGCTGCCTCAAGCCTATTTTCCACCCGTCCTTGCCCGGAGGGGAGAGGGGTTGCAGGTGGTTGAGGGGCCTGGGCTGCTGGAGCTCTGCTGCCCAATGCTCCTGGGGGATGTACCTGACCGCTGGCTCAGGTGCACCTTCCGCCGGCTGCCGAGGGATGCTCCGCCAGCCCCGATTTGGGGAGGTGCAGCAGCAACAAAGGGCCAGGTTCGTGTGTCCCTAACCAGGGCAGCACTCACCCACCCACATCTGCAGGACCCCCATGGCTCTGCCACCGCTGCTCTGTGCTGCAGGACAGCCCTTTCCCAAGATGCGGGGTGGTTTATTTGCCCCTCTGAGCTCTCAAAGGAGAAAGCGTGAGAGGGCATCAGAGGATAGACAGCACTGCAGTGATTAAGTCTGCCTCCTCTCAGTTTGAGGTGAAAAAAAATTGCATTAAAGGAGGACTCAGATTCCAGCTGCTGCCTTGTGGGAGAGCAGAGGGCCAGGTTCAAGGCTTTACAACTCAGGTAAGAAGGTTTGGTGTGGATTGGAGGGGTGGTGACTAAGGAAATGCTCAACACGATTCAGCTGGGAGAATCTGTGACAGTACCACTTGCTTACTTCTTGGCGTTAAGAGTGTAAGGTGCTCAGGTGATGGGAGTCAGGAGAAGATGAGCTCCTTTTGCTTTACAAGAAATCCCACTTCTTTAGAAAGCTAACATTTTAGTCTTTTTCAGGGCACAAGTGACTGCATATCCCTCGGAGGGAGAGATCCCAGACAGAAGTTGCACACAAATGCATTTTATTGCTCTCTACAAACACAGAGACGCATACATAGTATGCATGTAAGCCATAGGGCTGTCCCAGTAGTGGGAGAAACACTATCCACCATGAATTAAACCACTCAATACAGACAAAAGTCATTATTATAATGAAAATGCTAAAAAAAAGCATAGCTTACACCCAAAATGTATAACATTGACAAATCAAGCCTTTTACCTACTACCTTTTCTTTAACATAAAGCAGTAACGTACTCTTTTTCTAAATTGAAAAAAGCAGCAAAACAGTAGAAATATTCCACATAGTTCCCTAGCTTCTGTTCATCCATCACACTTTACATACTAGGACTAGGAAAGGGTCATTGGGGAAAAATCCAAAACAAACCAAAAACCATCTTTGATACTGTACAAGTTATAAGCAAACAGAGGGAAATTGATTTTAAACAAGTGTGTATGAACTACAGGGTGGTAAATTTATCCTCCGGAGTGACTGAGCAAACAAGTGTCTCTAGTCAAGCCAGAGCAAAGCTGATGGCTCTTACAAGCAATATGAGAGAAATGTCTCCTACAGCAATTTTTGTCCGTCACAACTGTAACATTTACAAAATACCCTCCTTCATTTTGAAGACATTCGCCCCCTGACTGGGCAGCATGCTGTTCACTGTTATCAGCAGTGGCTACACAGCTCCAGCACCACTCAACAGAATGCCTGAACTTTTGCCAAAGGATGCCACAGAAGTCAAAAGTATGCCATTCTTTTCACACATAAATAAAACACATGGGGAAATAAAATTTCCTACAGAAAAGAGGATAAGAGCTGGACTATCAGATGCAGTCAGATCCTTCCCCTGGACTGTAAAAGGCAAAGGTCCGTGAAGTCAGGGCTCCCCTGACTACCAGGGCCTCCAGAGAGCACTGGTGTCCTTTGGAGATGCTTGCTTCAGGGTGCTGGGGGTCCCAGGGGAAAAGGGGACCTCCGTAGCAGCTGACTGGCTCTTCTGGAAGTGGCTTAAGAGTTTGGTCTGTGTTTCAGTTCGGACTTTATGAAGCGAGAGGAAATGGAAAGCTTCTTGCAAACACCTAGAGTAGCCCTCTCTGAAGTCAAACTGAGAGCTTTTATGGAAGGAACCTGCAGCTAGAGAAGGGAAGAGAAGAGGGAGAAAGAAAAAAGAATAGTTTAGAGCAACTGTTCATGACTAGAGATTCATAAAACTGTCACAGATTTGCAGTAAGCTAGAGACTGAGGCAAAATTCAGTACTCACTCTTCATCTGCAGCTGGCTCTGCTGCTTCAGGTAGCTGACAGTCATCTCCAGGATGTCGGCTTTCTCCAGCTTGGAGTTGGGCTGGTGTCTCTGAAACTCCTTCTCCAGCAGCAGTTTCAGCTGCTCGATGCTGCTGTTAATCCGGTCACGCCGCATTTTCTCCACCACCGGCTTCCTCAGCTGTAAAAAGCAAAGGAAAAGAGACCTACTATTAGAAGGGTCTTCTCCCTGCCATTTCACAGGACTGCTTGTTGCCCATCCCTGTTCCTAAACAATGTGGGCCGGTTTCTCAGCTGGTGTAAACTGCTAAGAGGACAGCCGAGAGTGTGGCTCGAAGCCGCGTTGATGTGCCTGGACTTACTTTGTTTTTCTCCTTTGGTGTCAGCAGGTTGTCGGGCTCCATGAAAACAATGCTGGGAGCCATCTGTCCTGAGAAAGGAAGGACAGTCTCAAAGTGGAAGTCCAGGAGAAGCGTGTTGCTGGAAGCTGCCTCTGGCTGATATTTATACTGTACAAGCTCGCTGAGAGTCTGTGGGTCTCCGGCTTGGTGGAGTTTCCCACACTCCACAGCCAATCAGGGAGATAGGCAGCACAATAGGAGAAGCATCTATTCTTGCATGCTCCGTTGCCAGTGAATAGCCCGGGGATAATGACCTTCTCCCAGATGAGCAGGTGGGGAGTGTGTGGTAGGTGAAAGGCTGGGATCAGAGTTACGTGTCAGAAGCTGGGAAAGAGCTGGCCTTCAATGGGAAAAGGCTGCTGACTAATGCCACGGATCAATAGCATTCCGGGCGCAGCCTCGGGTTCACATGTGTGGAGGAAGAAGGAGGTCAGCTGCCGATGGCGGGAAATCAGCTACTGCAGGCAGGCTGCTACGTGGGGCTGCAGGCCCCCGGGGCCGCGCGGAGGCACACGCTTAAACAGGCACAAAGGCACATGCACACACGAGCAGTTTCTGGCTTTTGGAGTTAAAGAGCAGAGTTTCTTTAAATCCACTCACCTTGTTTTCTCAGGAAGCCAGAGCCAGTCGTTCTCCCTCAGGTGACTGTGACACCCGGTTTGCCCATGTGAAACAGAAAATGACTTGTCCGGTTTGCCTTACTGCAAAAAGATACATTTAATTGTAAGCACGCATAGTTATCGAAGATGTTTTCTGGTTTGATCTTTGTTATCTTCCCTTGGTATCTTATGCACCTCTTCAGAATGCTCGCAAGCCACGGCACAAGCATTTCATGTTTCTGTTTTCAAATACCTGCAAGATAAATCTGTGAGGAGAAGGATCTCAGAGTGTTTTGGGATCAGTTCAGTCTCGCATGCTGCTTTCTCGCTTCCTCCCCAAAACGTGTTTTACTCTAATTATTTTCATTTAATCTATGCACAAAGGGAAAGTAAGTGAATAAAAAATTTACATAGCACATAAACTTACTAGAAATCAAATTCCTGATTCCTCATTATTCTCCACTGGGCCAATTTCTATATTGAGATGCACAGTCTTTGCTCAACAGGTGCCTCAACAGGAAGAGTTAACGCTCTTGCTATTTGTAATCCTATGAACACACAGCCAGAGATTCATACTGGAAAACTTGAACCAGATCTGCCTGCATTTATCCTGCCTCCTGCCCCTGCAAGTACTGCTTCCTTTCGTGAGCTCTGACCTCTCACGAACTGCTGAAGAAGGAAATGGCAGCAGAGCGTTTTCTGCATCCTCCAGACATGCACCCTGGAGCAAGGCTGGAAGCAATGTTGCCCTGTTATGCTGCAAGCAGGGCAAAGCAGGCAGGCAGCAGCATTAACCACACATCTGGAACCATGCGTTCTGGCCCCAGATTTACTCCAAATGTGCTGTGTGACCTAATCAGTTCCACACACTCTTCTGTGAGCAGCAGTGTCTGCCTCTGTAAGATTCAGTACAGGAATAATGATCATCAGATCAATTACTGTCAAATAATGTTACGGTTTATGTTCAGGGATCTCTTACTGTAATAAGTAAATACTGTTTGTGTTTACAATAACATGTATGTGTGTTCACGCATATATTAATATATATATGTGAATACACATACGCACAGACATATTTCTCTCTCACTCTGCAACTCATTATTCCTAAGACCAGGTAAGGCTTAAATGACCACTTCCAGGATCTGCCTTTCCATCTCTATTGTACTGCTCTTGAATAGGCTCCCTTCTTTTCGTACAGAGCAGCAGCTGTTGAGCTCTGAGTCTTTTATGTCAAGTTGTGGGAAAGCTTTTGTGACACAATTTCGCATGTTCTCCTCAAAGCTTGTGGATTATCTTTGAGCCCATGTAATGCCACCTCTGAAACCAGTCTTTCACTCTGTGCATCCCTCTTGGGGAGATTCTCTGAAACAGAAACTCCTGAATAGTAACTCATTTCTTGAGCTCGTTAATCAAGCACATGAAGAAGAAATGTGCCAATCCTGTGATCAGCAGGGTCCACTAACAGTTTTGCTAGAGACAGTTTCTGTTTTCCAGATTAACTCACTAGTAAGCAGCTATAAGAACAGTAATAATTTCCCCTTCCAGTACAAATCATATAAACAGGCACTCCAGTTTTAGTACAACAAAGCTGTTTAAAGTGTCAGATGCCTTCCCTGCAATTATCCACAGCAGACAACAAGAAACTAAGCCTACTTCTCAGGAAGCTGTGCATTACGGTGTTCCTGCATCATGGGACTTTTACTTTGAGGCAGGACAAATTAACTTTCCATGATAAAACTGCAGCAGAGCAGATGTGGGACTTGAGCGACTTGGTCTGCCTTTGGCTTGCTTCTGCCATGTTCACGGGCCCTGGCTGGGTCTGGGATTTGCCCAGTGGTTCTGTGATGTGAGAGAGAGCTAGCTGCACCCCTCCGCCTGCCCACCCAAACGCATTGCCACCCACGGCCCATTCCACCTGGGACCACTGCAGCAGGATTTTACACATGAACCCCTTGTTTCCCCACTCAGTACCCAGGGGATTGCGAAGTTAACTCCATGGGAACAGTCATGCTAGCCTGAACACCCTTACTGTCCTTGGTCTCGGTAGAAAGTTTGCTTAATTCACTATTATGACCTTTAGTTCAAGTTAAAAGAGAATGAAAACCTCTATCTCCTTTCTTGCTCCGAGAAAGCAACTTCCATATGCCTTCTTGACAGAATTAATTGTATGGGATTAAAATGGCTACTTAATTTTTTTCCAGGATCCCAAGCATCAAGTCCTGTTCCATGTCTGCTTACTGTGTGTGCTTGAGACGTGATGGACCTTTTTTTTCTCCTGCTGTTTGGTCAGGCATTGTCACTGTAACCCAAGTTTTCAGACTTCTTGCCTCGAGCTCTGCCACTGACTCAGTGGAGCATGAGTCCAAGGGCAGGTGAAGGCTCACCGTGCTCTGTGGCTCGTGCCGCATGGATGTGGCTAGCCCCTTGCTGCCTGTACCCTCAGTTTAGGACCTGCATGTTGGGTTTGGGGCAATATGAGCTCAGGTCCCTTATGAAAAAAAGTCCAGCAAAGGCAGTCTTAGCTTTCCTAGCAGGGATCCCAGAACAGCTCCGCTGCCCCAGCTCTGGCCAGTCCAAGGCCAAATGGAAAAGAGTAGGAGGCCGTTGTGCCAGCACTTTGCCTGATCACACTCTCGGTGCGGTTGGGGTCAGTGCTCAAAATTTCTTCTCCACTAGGATCCAAACTGACCCAAAGCCTGCTACTGAGCAGGCTGAATGCTAAATAATCTTCTGTAGACTTGAGAAATTCACTTAGCTGTAGAGGCCCCACATATTTAGAACACATGTGATAATAAAAATTACAATATTTGATGTATTATTGTGAGGGGAATGTAGCAAAATCTCCCCCAGATGGTAAATCCACTGAGGTTCCTACTTTCTCACTCCATGTCACACATGAGTTTTAAAGCATCTGAAATAAAAATATATATTTAAACTAGCTTTTTATTTTCTCTTTGGTTTCACAGTCTGTGAGGGGAAAAATTAGCTAGTTACAGAGTTACTCAAGTTAGATGCTCAATTACCCCAAATAGATGCTCTGCTTCTGCTTTGGTTGGAAATCCTAAGGAAAAGTGGTAACAAAAATTCCTCCCTATTATAACGTTAGCAGAGTCAGTGGACTTTACATGAAGGGTAATGAATTCTGAGTTACACACCTTCTACTATGGTTCCAAACATACACAATATTGCATAGAAAACTTATCATGATCCCAAGATACTGGATCTGGATAACATGTTTGAAATGTGGCATTAGCAATTGCCTTTGCCCAGAATCTCTCCCAGATGTTAGCTCTTTAGGAAGACTCAAAGATGCTGCTGCTTTCCCAAGTCTTGAGAGATGCTCCCTGCTCCTGATTCTTCTCTCCTGATACGTGCTGCCCAGATGGCCCTTTGGGAGCGGGGTTTCCCACTGAACACAATGCAGAGGCAAACACCGTTGCTAATGTGGTTTGTAGTCAGGCACACTTCCTTTGTGACAGGAATGAATATAGTTAAGAAATGGTGTGGGAAACTCAGAAGTACACAAACTTCCCTTGCCTTATGTTAGTAAGTCATTTAGAAAGCTAAAATGCCTGGGAGCAGGGACAGAGCAATGCTTCTGAATAGAGAATGGGAAAGACAGCAAAATGTGGGAGTCTCGATTAGCAGCAAGTCCTACAGACCATCCTGTGGTGAAAAGTAAAATGGGTCCAATCCTAAGGGCCTTAGTTGGATCCTCACTGAAGTCAGTAGAAACTCTGGACTCCATGAAAAGTGAAGCAGACTGCTAGATTTGGCCTGCAGCTTTTGTACCTCCAGAGCTATTTCCTCACCTCCAATAAACTTGTGTAAACACAAATTACCTCTACACCTACAGTGGAATTTAGCAAAATCCTAATCAGAAAAATTTGAGCCTGAATTTTCACCTGCCAAATACCAATACCAGAATCTGGTCTGTTGTTTCCCATTTCTTTCATCCAAGCAACACAGAATAGCTTAGAAGTGCTAATGACGAGAAAAGCTTCCCCACACTGGTATAAAAACTGATCTAATTTTCTTAAAAGCCAAGCCCAGCTCATACAGCTCTAGATGGGTTATACAAAAGGATCACGACACCCTCGTGGTCCACTGGAGTCATCTTTTCCCCTCAGCTCCATGCAGCAGAGGCACAAAAATCCCATTGCAAAACTACAGCCGCGGCTGCCTGAAGGGCACCAGTATTTCAAAGCCCAGTATTTCCAAGCTTGCCCAAGGAAAGCACACCAGCTGGCACGTGGAGCTGGGCAGTCAGTGTCCTGCGGGACCAGTATGGGAGATGTGCTGCAGTGGTTGCCATCGTATTTGGGCAGGCCAGCCTTTGATAAAAAGAATAGCTTGACAGAGGTACTGAGCAACCTGGGGTATGGGCACTCCAACTGGTGAGCAACACCTGGCAGCAGAGTCTCTTGGTATCTCTCAGGGGCTCCATGGAGAGTCCGAGCAAAAAACCACATCATTCTTCTGGGCAAAGCTGAACTGAGGCAATGCCTCACCTACAGCAGAGGATCTCCAAACAGGCAGGAGGAGATTGTCCCTGTATTTAAACCTCATATTTAAATTACAGCAAACAGCAATTCAGATTAACATGCCAGGGTAATTAAGGATTGGAGGATTTTCTGTGTCTGTTTGCAACAGTTTGCATAAGCTTATGAGCAGCCTGGCTAATATGAAGGATCTGTGTTTCCTGGGACATATTAAAAAAAATCAGGAAATTAAAGAAGCAAACAGAATATGTGGCTCAGAAGTCTTAGTGTGGACCAAGACCACCTCTGCCACCTTCAGTGGGACAATTTTCTTTGGCCTTACTGGTGGATGAGCAGGACTCTACTCCTGCGGCTCCTTTCCCTGTCATTTCCTCCAAGCCCTTCCTTGCTTTGCTGCTTGGCAGTCCCTTGTTCGAGTCTGGTGCAATTTCTGTTTGCCTGCACAGCTTCCTTCACTTTTTTCCTTTTACTCAGGGTTTATTTTCCCTTCATGCAGTTTTTATAATCTGATTTTTCGTTCTGTCACTCTTTTCCCCTCTGTCTGTCACAGGCAGATGTGGTTTGAGGACAGGAGTGTCTTACAGACCCACAGGCTGTGTGAGTTTGGAGTTCCTTCCAGTTTCCCACACTGCTCTCCCATTCACTGCTTTCAGGCAGAGGATAAAGGAAGTGTGCCATGCTACAAGCTGAATTAGAAATGGTGTTTGACTTCCCTTTGTACTTCACAGAAACCTTGCTCTGGGTAGACCATCTGCATAGCACTCACTGTGGAGAAAACCATTGATCAAGGCCTGTCAGCCCAGCTGGGGGAACTTGGGAAAGTAATTCCTTGTGCCACTTCAGTTCTTTAGGGCTTAACATCTGGCTGGAGGGGGAGGCGACAGTTGATGGTTTAACAGTCTTGCTTCCTTTCAAGTTTGGGATGCTGTTTTGATCCCTGATAAGCCTTTCTGAAATCCTGATTTTTAATAACATGGAAAGCATCCAGAAGACTAGGAATAATGCACTGGCTTTGCATTTTCAAAGTGCTTTACAAATACCAGCTAATGAATTCTCAGCAACCTCCTCTGTGAGATAAGGATGTATTATTAGCAATGTTTTACAAAGGGAGAAAAATGAGGCAGACAGGAGAAAACCAAAATTTCAGTATTTCAAATAGCCTACTGGTTGCAGTGTTTCTATTGCCATGTGGCTATTTGAGACATCTGGTTTACAAAGATGCTCAGCACCCACTTTTGTTTTAATTAGCTTTGGCATCTCTGAAAAGGAGCCAACTCCCTAGATTGTGGGAGAATTTGGATTACTGGCCTGGACCACACTCACAGTCATGTACCACCTCAATGAGCAGATGCAAACGTTCTCCTTTGTACTCAAGTTCAGTGGTGGTTTTTGAAAACGTTAGTATAATTTGTTTAAGCCCATGAAATGGCTGAAAAGGAAGATGCGCTCAAATCCTTGGCCAGGAAATACTTAATGATCTATTCAACAGAAACTAACTTGATCTCTCTAGAAAGCAAAATAAGTTTTAGTTTGTTTATTCATGCTTCTGAAGACCTACCAAAACCTCAGTCTTAAGGTGCAGCTGCCCTTAGTCCTTGTGCAGATCTGTCTGTCGGCACCAGCTAATTTTGATCAGCTGCCTCCCAGCAGTTACGGTTATTCTGGGCTTGGAGCTCCTTGGAGGAAAGGATGCAGTGTGCCCTGAGTTTATAACGGAATTTTAGACCCTAGACACTTGGCCCAGATAAAACCAGTGACTTAGAATTGAGAAGGAAGCCACACTGCTTTAGTTGACAAGTCCAGTGCTGTCTGCAGCTGCGGTATTTTGTGCTGATCGCTGGTTGTATGCAAAAGGTGTCTGTGCAGCCTCCTGACAGCAGCTCCCGGGGACTTCATGCCAGATTTCCAGTACCTCGTGCTGCAGATGATTGTAGGGCACAGTTTATACTACCAACTACACACTGGAGATGCTCTGGGGGTCCTGGTCCTATTCTTAACCCTCTCTAGACTGTTTCCATCAGAGTCTGGCTCTGTTTATTGCACTAGATTCCCCTCATCCTGACATCTGACAATGTACCTTGCCCTGTGGCATGGTGATGAGGGCATCCAACTCTGCCTTGTATGCCTCACGAGGTCCACAGTCTTCCAGTTCTTGCATGTGTCCCTCTACTAGTCCTTTGCCTGGCTCAGAACCAGGTTATCTAGCTTTTGAGAAACTGTTCTTGCCTGCAAGGCAGGTGCTTGCTTTTATCAGACTTGGCCTCTTCATTCTGCCAGCTGGACATGGCAAAGCTGTTCCTCAGCCCTCCAAAATACCCCTGCCCAGCAGGGCAGGACCTGACACTGAGCCCCGAGACCCTTTCACCAGACCCACGTCCGTTGTGCTCCGCAGTGCAGTGACTGGCAGACACCAAGGGTGAGGGAGTGGATTCCAGTAGGAGCTTACATCCCAAAACTCAGGCTGAGCTCAAGGGAAGGGGGAAAATTCACCAGGGCATAAAGAAGAATCAGCTCCAGGCTACAAACTTGTACAATCAAGCAAGGCGCAGGGGATGCCAGGGAAGCCTGTGACTTTTATTCCCCCTCTCCACCACTGCCCTAGCTAGAGTTGAGTGATTAAATATCTGACACATGCAGATAGTAAGGGGAGAGGTAACTCCTCTCCTATCTGGCACGAACACACCATTCCTATCTTGTCAACGACAGCAAGCGGTTGTTGAGGCCAGACCTCAGGAGCCACACTCCCAATTCTGAACCTGCTCCTCCAGAATATTCACTCTGAAAGATACCTTCTCCTTGCCAAAATGCTCGGCAGCGCTATTTGGTAAGTCTTGCAATTTTTATCACGAGACTCATAATATTTACGGCCTTTAGTAAGACCTCACATCCAAGCCTCATGATTCTACAGAGAGAGAAAATTATATTGATCCACACAAAGCCCAAATGCTCAATAATCAAAAAGTAAGTTAAAAAAAAAATCCATTCAAATACCTTTATTTTTATTAGAAACATCAAAATGTTTTTGTTAAATCCCTATGACTTTTAGCCCATTTCTTGGTTTTTTGAAGCCCAAATTCTGATGTTTGAAAGGTTGGCAGTGATGCCAGATCCTCAGAGATGCTGAGCCCATTGTAAGAGCCGAATACCACCACCGTCCAAAAAAACCCACCCAAAACAATGAAGGAAGCTCATGAACTCAGCAGCTTCTATGTTTGCTCCCTCTTCCTTGGCCGGAGCTGAGTAAGTGACTGACTAATGGGGTCTGCGTATTTCGGAGGACTTTTGGGGAGCGGGTGCTCCCACTGAAGTCAGCGGTATCTGGGGTGCTTTAGAGCAAAACTCAAAACCATCTGGCAGCATGTGTGAGCTAACTGCTGGGTCTCAGCCCTGTTGCTGACATGGGGAACCGTGACGTTACTGAGATCATCACTAATTTAGCACTGGCTGGCATAGCTACACAGCAAGGTGTAGCTGAGTCCCCTGGTAAAAGCAGAAGGGTAGAATATATTCTGTGGTTGGTTCGTAAGGGTTTTTGAAGGAAGAGGGTGGTAAACACATAACATGGTGGCTCCCGAAAAGCCTGCTCCCAGGGCAATGTGTTCCTTTGAGACATAATTGATTCCTGCCATCAGGCACCAGCCTGCTCTCCCCCAGGGTCAGCGCTTTCCCACATCCAACCCCATTATCCCACAGACCATGCCTTTTGTACAACACACTCCAGCTATTCATGTGCAAAGCAGCTGTAATCCCCAGACCTTTCAGAGTCAATATACCAGGAAATAATAAATCCCTCTTGTGCACTCTTGAATATGCTGAGAGGTGACTTGTGGGAATTTCAGCTGGGCAGGAAAAATAATAAATTCTCCTTAATTTTTAATTATATGTAATACTCAGTGTAGAAAGACTGTCATTGGTGCATGACTATTTCATGGTCACCCACACAAGCAGCTATAGAAATTGCTTTTGCCTCTAACAACCCTGAAAATGCAGATCAAATTATCTTGTGTTTCTTAATGATCAAAGTCCACTTTCCTTCACTGATGCACCTGGGAATGGCAGCACATTAAGCATTCTGTATCTAAAGAAAAACTAATTAAAAAAGGTTAAACCTGTGAAGAATGTACTTTACAGTAATAAAAGACCCCTTTTTTCCAGGGTTCTAGTGTCTAAAGGAGGCAAGATAATGTCATGCTAATGACATTTAATGGAATATTTTACACAATAGGTCTAATAACAACATAACCTTTTCCCCTGAAAGATGCAGAGTTCACTACATTTCCACTCCGTTGGTTCACACAGCGGAATTATGCTTGGCTTGTGCGAGCAGAAGAAGCCAATCCTGATTAGCAAGTTTTGCAGGATAATTTCTTTATATATTACCTCCCATGCCAAACAATTTTTTTGAGCCACTTACTATGTAGAATGGGATATCACTGAAACACCCCGAGCAGAACATGGTAGGCAGGGTTAGGTGCACCCAGGGGGCTGGGAGAAGGGATCTTCATCTGTGACACCAAAGCAAGCAGTGGCTCCTAAGTTAAAAACTGCCAGAGGATCATTCAGATTCACCTCAAATAGGCAGTACCCTGTCTCTTCAAATCTTACCCAAGAAGCCTCCACAGAGCAAGTTGTGAGAGTATGAAGATGATGAGGGGATGTTTTGATACTGTAGGAATTTTTGGTGCTAAAATCCAGGAATCTTAAACATTAGGACACATCCACCCAGCAATAAGGTGTGAGTGTGGCTCTACATACAGACCCCATAGTTTCATCAAGCATTTAAACTTAATCATGTCCACGCAGATGTGTCAACCCAGGTCAGCTTGGGACCCTGGTAGGTGTTCTCATTGCTACTGCCTTCCTCAGTGATGCTGCCACTCGTTACCTGTGGAAGTGAGATCAGAGCTAGCTTCATCCTAAAAACCCTCCCAGTTTACCTGTGTAAATAAGCCTTTCCAGCAATGCTAACCATGGGCTGGCCTGAGGAAGCAGCAAAAGCCAGCTAGAGATGAGACGGCACACAGGACAGACCCTGCAAAGCCCTGCAGCCCCACCACAGGCACGGCCTTGGCTCCTGATTTCAAGAGGGCTCTGGGGAAGGGTTTGTCAGCAGCACTCCCATTTCCCAGAAGGGCAAACTGAGGCATGGTGAAGCAAACCAGCAGCCCCCAGGACAGCCAATGCTGCAGCTGAGCTCGCTATTCCTGCTGGCCACCCCTGAGTGTGCATCAGGGTCTCTGTCCCTTGCCCCATGTTGCCCCTTTCTTGGTAAACGCAGATCTCTGAGAAACCCCTGCCTGTCTGGTGAAACAGGCGCTTTTCAGCCTTCCTCGGTGAAAAAGCCATGTCAGTTCATCGTGCCTTGACAGAAGTGCAGGCTCCACAAAGGAGTTATTAGCACCAGGCTCTGTGGGTTTGAATTTCTCCTCGTTTCCCATACTTTTCCCCTATTGATAGCATTTCTTGTTGGGACAATAGAAGTGTGCCTTGCAACTACTCACGACATTAGTGACGGTGCTTGAGCCTGAATGATTTAAAGGGAAAGAATCCAACTCCCAAAAGACCATCTGGCTATCAGATATAATACAGCAATAAAGGTCAGGGCTGCTTCTCAGGAGTTGGGAAAAAGATGGTTTTTGACACTGAAGAGTCTCTTCAACCAGCTTGCTACAAGCCTACCTGTCAGGTCCTAGCTTCAAGGCCTGCCACCGTCGTTCCCTTGCTAGGAAAGGGAGAACACAGGACACCAACTTCTGGAAGAAGGCCAGCTAAAGAATACAGGAAAAAGGGCAACACCTTGTTATAGCTGGCAGAAACTATGGCATGGTCTCTGAGGTATATCTTATTTTGTGTCATAATCCTTTGACTGCTTCAAAGTGTTCATGAGATGTCTTGTCTCCTGGCTTTCCCACAACACAGGGAATAAAGGGCTCCAAGGACAACATCTGCCCTTCACAAAGGGCTAAGCCCATTCAGGCCCATACAATGAGAACCACGAAGCTGGCTATTTCAGTGACACCTCCCTCCTTCCTGTCAACTGCCCATTAAACTCAGGCTTCACTTCAGGATTTCCAAGCAAGAAATTGTCTTTGGCTTTCTTACCTCACTGCACACTTCCCTCCACCATTTTCATTTCCAGATTCTCAGCCACGCTCCAGTGCACAGGCAGAGCACTGGGAGAAGATGAGCTCAGCTCTGCCTCGGGCACTCCAGGCTGGACCCTTGGGTGGCAGGATGCAGCACAGCTTTTCTCAGGTGGGCTCTGGGTTATTCTCGGTGCTGCCTCAAGGACTGTATCCAGGCAGAGATTTTTCTCATAATACAAAATCAGAACTGACCTCAAGTGTCCATACAGCTTCATTCTTTGTCTTGCCTTTACCACAACAGAAATAACGTTTGTTTAATTTTTACTGACATAAAATTTTTATATCTGAAGATGGGCCTCAGCTACTAAATCCCATTCATGACCTGCCTCTGAATTCCCAAGGCCTAGGGCTTCTGGGCTGAATGATGCTATTCTTTAGCCCATCTTAGCCATCATTCTTGTAAATGTTTGTATGAAAGAGAGTAGAAAAGGGAAAAGAAAGAGCTCCAGGAGTGATTAGGCATGGGCCCAGTTCTGCTAGGTGGTGTGTGGCCGTCCTTAATGAAGGCAATGGGAACACTGGTGCAACAGGCTCACAGCCCCCAGGATGTTAAGGGGAAGAGAGAAACAGAGGTTACCATTCCCGTTTGCTCCCCATTCCCTATTTGTTCACCTTGTCCATCCAACATTCCACCATCCTGATGTGGATTCTCCACTGTGTTTGGAAATGTCATGCAAACCAACCTGTCGCTTCACACCGGTAAATGCTTTGGCTCACCCATTAGAAGTGTAATAACTGAAGTGTAAAGCACAAACACACCCAGCAAAGGGCACCTGGGAGCCTGGCTGTAACGTGCCCTCTCTAGAAAGAGTAGAGATGTCCTTGGTGCTGTTGATTTTACCCCTAACAGGGCTCCCCTTCTTCTTTTCCCGCCTTCCCCAAAAAGCGTGCCTCCTCCACGCCACAGATGTGACTGGCACATGCAGGGACCCAGGAATGTGATTGATCCCAGACAACCAGCTGGAGGGTCAGTGTTTTCCCAGATCCCTGGGCAGCCCCAGAGAGCCACACTGCACACTCCACCAGTCAGCGTGGGCAGAAGGTTATTCTCTCCAGGGCATTTGCAATCAATGTACCATGCACTAATAGATGCTTCCTCTATTGTTCAGCTGTGTGCCTGGATTGGCTGGATGGCTGTGGGAAACACCAGCAATCCCCAGACTCACATATCTGCTGAAGCTCCCTGATGTATAAATAGCAGCAGTTGGGAACTGCCAAAGCATAGTCGTACGCTCAGCACAGCAGCCCGACGTGGGGGTCTGTGCCCAGGACTGAGAGCACCAAGAATGGCTCCCAGTAACACTCTCATGATCCACATGGAGGAGAAACTGCTTCCAAAAGAAAAGAATAAAGTAAGTAGAGCCCTTGACTGGATTGGGAAGGCTGGTCTGCCTCTGATTGGAAAGGCACTCTATGCAATGGCCTGCCTCTATCAAATAAATGCTACTTGGGAGAAGATGAGATAAGGAGGGAGAAAGTGGTCTGGGGGAAAGAAAATAGATTAAAGAGGGATAAAGGAGACCGTATAGATTTTTAAAAATTAAATTGAGCGGGAAACAGGTAGGCAGCATCGCAAAGCTCTCCTACCAAAAGAAAGCGTCTTTGAACATGTGTATCAGGTCATCAGAAGGGGAAATGAGGCCAGATCTCAGAAAATCCTTAATGATCTGCTCCAACTATCTTACAGCTGAGGAAGCCAGTGGTGGAGAAAATGCGGCGTGACCGGATTAATAGCAGCATCGAGCAGCTGAAACTGCTGCTGGAGAAGGAGTTTCAGAGACACCAGCCCAACTCCAAGCTGGAGAAAGCCGACATCCTGGAAGTGGCTGTCAGCTACCTGAAGCAGCAGAGCCAGCTGCAGGACCAGGGTGAGTGCAGAGCACATATCGCACCCCACTCACAGTCTGCTCCCACCCACACAGCCCTGGCCCTCAAGCACTCAGGGGCCATAACCCACCAGGTCACATCACACAAGCAAGGCTCGTGGACTCGGGCTCTTGAAAGAAACCTAATGCATGAACCGCCACTGTCCCATGTTCTGGTCGTGATCTTAGCCCACTACATTTGCTTCTTTCTTTCTTTCCCAGGCTTCACTCACAAGAATCTAGAGCAGGACTTTAACAGTGGATACCTGCGGTGCCTCAAGGAAGCTATGCATTTTCTGTCCTACTATGAACCCAAGAAGGAAACTCAGGTGCAGCTAATCAAGCATTTCTGCAAAGCTCACATGGGTGCAGATGTCATGTACTCTCCTGCCCTGCGTAGTTCGCCCCTGTCACCCTGTCTGTTTGCCAGAAAGCAACCTGCCCAGAAGACTGTAGCTGCTCCCACCATCTGGAGACCCTGGTAGACCTGCTGAACTTTGCTTTATTCCTATGTTTTGCTACAAAAACTAGAGGGACCTGTGATTTAGTAGTTCCTCTTTGAAGTAGGAAACATTGCTTTCCAAAGGTGGGAGGGGGGCAGTTATTGTTTTTCTGTCATAAGAAATGAGGGTGGCTGAGTGGTTTCCCTTCATAGTGAAGGACGGTGTGTGTATCTTGCAGCAAATTTGCTGCTTTTATTGGTGGCTCCTAGCCAAAGAGAGAACCAAGTTCTGCAGTGATTTAGAGAGCCAAATGCCCTTCAGTTTCCATCACACCTTTGCTTGGCAAGGCTGTTGAGTCTGTGGCTGTCAGTGGAAAGCTTGCTACTAACTCCCTGGGTCACTGGCTCAAGTGCTCCATTGTCTCTAGATAATGTATTGACCTTCCTAAAGAAGGAGCACTTTGAAGAATGCATTTTGTATCATAGAGTATCGAGCCTTTACCTTTTGAGTGAAAGATGTTATTAAGAAATGCTGATTCTTCTGAAGTTCCTATGCTATTTTTAGTATATCTTCTTACAGAAAGTTATGATGATAACAGATAGCTCTAAGGAAAATTCTCTTAATGCCAGTATGTGCTACTCTCAGTTGAGGGATAATTGATGCCTTTTGTAAAGGAATACCTGTGATACATCTTAAGGAGAAGTGGGGGGAGGAAGGCAGTTAGTACTTTGTAATCATTCACTGAACATGCTAAAGAGCTTAAAAAGCTTTTATAAAGTTGTGATGTATTCATCCTGTGTGATGTTCAATTTTGGTGTCTTCACTGTACAATACAATAAAAATGGTTTCAGTCAATAATCCTTTGGTCTGAAATTATTAAAATGGCTAATGCTCCCGGATTAAGTGTTGCATGTAGACTCCTTCTGCAGTGGGGAAGCTATCAGGAGATGTCATATTTCTGAGCCCTTCATTCCAGTACATAGTTTATATTTGTGAAATTCATCTGGCAGAACAGGGTTTCAAACCCTGCAAAGAAGCAACCTCTGGAAAAGTTATCGAAAATTCAAATGGAGGTGAAATTGAAGTGAGATACTGAGAGATGTAGACTCAGATACCTAATATCAACCTATTCAGACTTCAACAAATCACTAATTTCACAGTCAGTTTATTTCCCCCCACTGCCCATTAATTTGCCCACCAACTTGCATTCAGTCTTACACTTTCTGCCAGTTTAGGCAGTAGCAACATGCATAACTCCTCATAACTTCCAAAGAGTTTGGCACCTGACTCTGGGGATCTTACCCTCCTCTTTGAAACTACCCTCAGTGGGGTGAACTACTTTTTGTTGTCTTTTAATTTTAACACCTTCTGCTACCTAAACACGAGTTCTGTTTGGCAATAACAGAAGTTATTATGAAGTGAAATATGCCTGTATATGGCTAAAAGTATACATCATTTGATAGCAAACAGGTTGAAAAAGCATTCCCTCTCCTAAATTATTTCCCCATACTCTTCTTCAGGCATTTTATTCTCTTTAACATCCTCCTGAGGGTCCAAAACATGTCATGAATAGGGCCTGTGCCTCAGAGTTGAGAAACTGCCACACTTCACCAAGCTTTTGAGGTTTTTTCTTTCCAGCCTGTTGTAGAGATGACCTCTTTACCAAGTATCTTTTAAATGATTCCCCCCTTGATTTTTTTCACCCCACCTCAATTCAGCAAACAAATCCAGCATATCCTCTCACACGGCGATTTCCAGCAGCCTGCCTCCTTGGCTTGCACCAGCTGAGTGACCCGAAGCGAGCAGCCGGGCTTCCCGTGAGGCGCAGGGAGAGGCACTGTGCCATCCGTGCGCAGGCTCAGCTCGGGCCCTGTTAGTTTTTTTCTGCAATTCTCTCTGTACTGGCCACATGGCTCCTGTCTCCTGAGGATTAAGTCAGCTGCACTCTGGTGATGTGAGGAAGAGGAGCGCATGTTGTAAAGGGTGCACTTGTCCTTCTCCCACACAGTTACACAGAGGGAATGGATGAGGTGAACAAGCAAAAAGGGATTCACAAGGTATTAGGGGAAGCAGGAGGAAAAGCCGGAGAAGGGGGTCCTAAAGCTACCCTTGAGCACCTTAAATACCAACAGTCTCTCCAAAACATAACACTTTCCCCAATAACATTCACTCACTTTTCCTTAGAAGAGTTCTCATTCATTGCTCAGTGGGGACTATTTGCCTTTTATATTTCCTGCTCTTCCAAGTCAAATAAATCTGCACAAATAATCAGTTCACAAAAACGTTATCCAATCACAGTAACACACTGATTTGGATATATAACAAGGAACCCTCTCATTCTTCCAGAGATATAGTAACAGCATGAAACACCTTTGGTCAACAGTTTCAACTCTCCTCAGATTTCCTGGGAGAGATGCTCTTGAAAAGCTTCATTTCTAGCTTATGCTTTTAACCTTAAGCAAAAGGAAACCTAGAATATCTGATCTTGTCAAATGGCTGCTTAGTTAAGCAAACTCAGACCTGCTAAGTTGACAAGATCAAACTGCACCCAAACACTGCTAACTGTGCCTGGCCAGTCCTCACTCAATTTGTGAGGAAACCCTCTGTTATATGCATGGAAAAGACCAAGAAGCTAGCTAGCCAGGTCAAGAACACATTGCTCCACCTCATTACAGTTTCATGGATCATTTTGCTTATTATTTTCCCCTGAATGCATGAACTGATTGAGTGTTCCTCATCTGTCTGCCACTGCAATACAAGGTGGGGTTTTGGTACAGTTCTGCAGTTCATCAGGGGCTCAAGCCAGTGCTGCAGATCGATTTGTTCTTCCTAATGTACTACTAAGTAATTCAGAAGAGATATTTTTAGACTTTGTGGTTGCTTAGCGATCTTGAAAAAGTCACTTCACCTTGCTGTGATCAACTTGTCTTTGTCAATTAGTACAAGCTTCTGAATCGCAGCAAAATTCAAGCTGTTCATCCATGCCTGTGCATTTTTAAATCAAGCCTAATTAAAGCAGCTTGTGGATAGGAAGTCTGGAGGAGTTCAGACTCAGTCAAAATGAAGTGTGCCCCAAAACACACCAAAACCTGACTGTGTGCCATAGGGACTGGGAAGAGAGTCACACATGGCACAGAGAAGTCTGCTGCTATTATATGGACGGGTATTTTCTGCAGTTAACATGTTAACACCCAAGAAAACCACGTCGTGAATGTCACAGTTGGCAGCATCACTGCAGTTTGTTTAAAACTGACACCATAAATGGAAAAGAGAAAAGGAAACCAAGTAAGAGCTGCACAAATTGAAGGCTGTTGGAATTGAGCTCAGTCCCTCTAATTCTAGGCTAACGCAGGAACAGGCCACAGAAATGACAACTGTGCAAAACTCCTGTGAGATCACAGTCAGACTTGTAAGCCCAGAACTCCTGCCACCCATATTGGCATATATCTGGAGAGACGCGGCTACTGTCATTCAAACCCGCGGTCTGATTCTCATTTACACTGAGGCCATATTACATTACTCTGGCTATAGTGGGGGGGGTGTCGCTCATGCTTAGTTGTTCATGTACAGGAGATTCAGACCTATTGTTTGCAGGGTGGTGTAAGGGAGAGGAACAGTAAGCAACTCCTTTCTGAGCAGGGGGAGAAACCAAACCCCATAAGAAAGCCCCCATTTGCTCCAGAGAGTCAGAGCCACGGCTGGTGCGAGTGCACCACTTCTGTTTTTCGCCAGCCAAAGAGTTGCCCCTCTCGGCTTTAGTTTAACAATTATATAAGAGCGAAAAGCCAGATCTCTGGTTTCACCAGTCTTAGCACAGCAAAGGTTATGTTTACAATTTATTAATTATTATCACTTATAATAATTGAATGCAAAGCTTCTTATTGCTCCTCTGTCCCCTGGGGTGACTCTCCCCTGATCCAACACATTCCCACCCTTAGGGAAGATGTTGTTTATTATGCTGATCCCACAGCCCTGGAATACTCTCCTGACAAAGCCCCTATTAACCTCAGAGTGTGGGCCCGAGTTTCTCAGAGTTTCCCACACTTTCTTCCCTATTTATGACATTCAGAGGGACCACAAAGGAAGCGTGCCTCACAACAGCCCACATTAGTGACGCTTTTTGGCTCTGCATTGTGATGACCAGCAATTCCTGTCCCGATAGACCATCTGGAGAGCTATTTTCCCAAGGAGCACATTGATCGATCAGTATTATGTGAGAGCCCTTTTAAAACTTGGGAACGTTATGCTCTTTGACACTAAATAGGTGTCTTGAGAGGTGTTGTCAGAAAGATTTTAAACCATTTAAGGAAGGCACAGAAAAAATAAAAATCGTAATTACTTCTTTAAAAACAACATCAATAGCATTTGTGAGACAGGCTGACATGAATGTAGGAAATGGTCTAAAATAAAAATGCTCTGAAAGTGATATAGAAAGGAAAGCTTTAAGCTATCAAGTTGTGTGCTATAAGTACCGCCACAGACATACAGGACCACCGCTTTTTAAATCTGCATAACAGAGACAATGAAATTCTGGTTTTCTGTACTCTTTTCTGATAGTCCACCTTTCTCCAGGCCTGTTGCTACACTGCGATACACTGGGCTCCCCTCCACGGAAAACTAAGTACCAGATGGGCCAAGAAAGCTGCCAACTGGTATTACAAGTAGTAGCAGCTTCTGTGAAAACAGTGTGTCGTAAGTCTGCACCTGGGCTGAAATCACCACCTACGAGCCAGAAGCAGAAAGCTCCATGGCCCAATACCAACTGCCCTGGCTAGAGCTTTTCCAGCTGTTTTGATTTATGGACTGTAGTGAACACAAAGCTACTGGTGATAGTCTTGCGGTCGGTTGGTTGGTGACCTTTCCTGGATGCTCTGTGGTTGTTCCTCAGCTCAAAGCAATCTATGGCACGCAGATTGCACACCAGAGCTCAGGGCCGGATGGGGAGCATCTACGGTTGGAGACAATTAACATGGTGGTCCTTGCCTTAGGAAGAATTGGGACTCCTGCCTGACCCGCAAGGTCTGTAAATACAGACACTGGCAATTGTTTGCAGATTTTTGTTTCCCCTTACGCTCTTCAATACCTGTACTAGGTGAGGGCGGAGACACCTCCCTGTCTTCATGTGTGATTTTGCAGGCTGCATCTTCATGATGCAACTCATGAGTAGTGAGATTTACAGATTAACAAGGCCACTAAGAAAGCAAGCCTCTGTCCATGGCATAGCTGTCATCTCTCGGGAGTGGGTCCAGATTTCACACCATCCTCCAAAGAAGGGAATTATTGTGTCACACTGTTTAGTCAACTCTGCGTGTTTGGCAATTTTGGGGATTTGTTTCTTTCGATCCTTCATTCGAAAAACAGGGAAACCCGTGCTTCTGAGCCTCAGACAATCAATCTTTCATTCCGACTCTGTAGCAACACTCAGAGGCACAGACTCCTCCCATGGATATGAAGGACAGAGACAAGGATTCGGATCACAGATGTGCTTCAGTGGGACAGAATATTACGCTAACAGCTGGATTTTAAAAAAGGCCAAACTAGTTACAGACCATTAACAAAAAGCCAGTGGACTGCCTACAGCACAGAATATTTTTTTTTTCCCTTACTGAAATCCTTGCAGGAAGTGCATACTGCACCCCATTCCATGACAAGTATATTTCAGAGACAGCCTTAGACTAGACAATTTGTTTTTCTGAAGCATCAGTTAGGAAATATGACTGCCATTAAGTTTTCAGGCCTTAATAATCAAACCAGAAGGGGGGGAAATATTTTTTTTCTCTTTTATCTATCAACAGTATACAGAGGGTAGGTGAAGGGAAGGGAGGAACTGAAGATTTGCTATCTTTTCAACTGACAGAGAGAGGAGGAGAGAAGCTGGGAGTCTGTGAGCTCAGAGGGCTGTTGTTTTGTGCTCTCGCTGCAAGGCAGCATGCCTGGTTCACCATTCACATCAGATGGTGCGAGTCCACAGTTCGGAGGATTTCCCACATTGCCCCATTCACAGTGTTAAACTGCCAACAAAAGAAGTGTGCCTCTGTGGGTCCTGAGAAGAAAGCTCACGCCTGCTGCACCATCTGCCCAGCACTTAAAGGAAGGGATAATGCTTTAATCAGTGGGAGTTTGTTTAGCCCTTTGGAGTCCAGGAGCATTATGCTGGCGGTAGGATGGCATTATTTAAAACCACTCATTTCATATTTCCAGAACTGAAAACTGGGTCAAAGCTTCCTTCCCATCTCACTGTTCCCGCTGCTGCTGCAAACATCTTCCTTCCCATACGGTGCGTGGTAGGACCTGCTGTCCATTCCATCTCATGTAATCCCTGAGAGAGATGCACAAAGCCCTGTGCTTGACTTCAAGCTCCAATAATGGCACAAATACATGCAGCCAGGGATCACCCCGGCTGCAAGTAATACTGCTGATTGCAAGCTGCCAAAATAATTCAGGAAACTGATTTTCAATAGGACCCATACTCCCTGTTCAATCATAGGTTTTTGACAACCATCAACAATTAAAACCGTTACATTCTAAGTGATCCATCTAAATCTAAAATGTCTTTGGGTTGAGAAGGGAGGAGGGGAGAATGGCTGACCTACAAAAATCACCATCAGGAGAAGCCAGGAAGTTAAAAGGGGGTTTGTAAGCTGCAGGTGAATAACGAGTTACAGGCTCATCCTTTGCAGGATCATAATCCTCCTATGCAACAACTCTACGTGTGCTGAAACACGCTGCGATCTATGTACCCACAGACACAGGTTTTGGGCCTTAACAAGAGGGATGCTGAGGGCAGGTGAAGCAGGCTGACTGCAGCTGACAGTGAAATGAAAGGTTTCCTTTCTGGTTTTGAAAGGCAGACACAGGAAATGGGTAAGCTTTTCATTAATATTGTTGTAGTAAGAAACAGGTATTCAAAAACTAACATCCCCAACCTGCTAGCCTATTAGCAGCAATCTAGCTTTACTCCCTGTTCTAGCCTCTGACCACGGAACAAGCATTAAGGAAAAAGAAAATTATGCCCATGCACAACTCCCCTTAAACCCATGGAGCTCCACATGCTACAGCTGAACCAGATGTGCCATAAATCTTAACTGCGAATTCATCAATATGTCTGACTGACAGATCTTAAAAGTGACTAGCTTTGGATTGTGCTTGATGGGGCAGTAGACCTGAGTAGGCAATCTAGAATAGCCTGAAAAAAAAACCCCATATCTCAAAAAGGCAGCTTTAATCTGGATCCTATCTGGTCCTTTCCACTTCATTACCTGTGTTCATTGCAATACACGTGGCGCATGTACTGAGAAAGTCCAAGATTGAACAGAGTCACAGGATATTCTAGCACCTGTATTTACCTTCTGCAATAATGTAATAATACAAGCAGTGTAACAGACAAGAATTGACTTTCCACTGCATCTCAGTCATCTGTAAAGGGAAAATATATTTAGGTGCTTTATGTGGAGGCTCGGGACCAAGGGAACAGTGAAGCATTTACAAAGTGGCATGAAATTAAATAGGACATGTTTGGGAAAGGCATCATAATCATTACATGTCACGGGCTGCCATAGGAAAGCCCAGATTACCCAAACAAAAGCAAGGAAGAGCTCTTAATATAACTTATAGAGGGACTTTAAGTATTTAAACAATGGAGATGAAAATATTTCAGGCTAACTGCTTGGCACAAATTGTTTTTAGGGTTCTTCCCTGGATTTTAGTCTCTAGTTGCCTGAAAATTATCTGGTACTGTATTCATCTAAGCACGGTTTAATGTCAATGAAAGGGTTTAGCCCCTCTAATTCTGCATCTTTTCCTTTTCAACCTCTCTTTTGGTCATGGGCGCAGAGCATTATCTCTTCCTGGGATCAGTCTTCTGTGCTTAATTTCACCCCAGCCTGGGAAAAGGCAGCACATTGAGATGTTGACGTTCCCAACATCAGGCAGAAGTTTGATTATAATGACGGCAAACGCTTTCCCACGTTCCTACCCCAGCGCCGTAATGCCAAGCCCTATTGTGTCACACACTCCCCAGTCCACCTGCTCCTTTGGGAGCAGGGTATTATCCCCAGGCAATTCACAGTCAATTTGCCATGCTGTAATAGATGCTTTCTCTATTGTCCCAGGGCAGGCATGGATTGGCTATCGACTGTGGGAAACTCAAAGTCACTTAGGACCCATACATTTGTATGCAGTCACTGCGTATAAATAGAGGAACTCCCCGTTCCCTTCTCCACCTGCTCACCAGCAAGCTCTGAGCAGAAACCAGCGCTTGGGATAATGGCACCCAGTGCTCTCTCCTTGGAAATCCTAACACCCAAAGAGAAGAACAGAGTAAGTATTTGATGTCTCTGTGACCGCAAGGGCAAAGAGCTGAGAATGGCTGAACCCCTGTAGCAGCAGGTTACATGGAGATGGGAAGGGGAAAGTCTCACTGCTAACTGTCCTCTTCCCGTTTTGTGTTGCAGCTCAGGAAACCCATTGTAGAGAAACTGCGCCGCGATCGGATTAACAGCAGCATCGAGCAGCTGAAACTGCTGCTGGAGAAGGAGTTTCAGAGACACCAGCCCAACTCCAAGCTGGAGAAAGCCGACATCCTAGAGATGACTGTCAGCTACCTGAAATACAGCCGAGGTGAGCACATCCCCCGATCACGCTTGCTGCCGTTGCTTTTAGGCAGAACTCCAGCCCGAGTCTCCCTGTGTAATGCTTCTCTCCTCTTCTGCCCTTTCAGCTTTTGCAGCGTCTGCCAAAAGCCTACAGCAGGATTATTGTGAAGGGTATGCCTGGTGCCTTAAAGAAGCTCTGCAATTTCTGTCTCTCCATTCAGCAAACACAGAAACCCGGATGAAGCTGATCTGCCATTTCCAGAGGTCACAAGCAGTGCCCAAGGACTCTGGTTCTTCTTCTGCACCCGCTTCCACCCACCAGCTCCCTGCAAAACAAGCAGCACTGAAACCCTCCTGCAGCCTCTGGAGGCCTTGGTAGGCCAAGAGTACGCTTATGTGTTTCCTGGACATTTGCTTATATGCCAGAGGAGACTGTGACTTGCTATACAAGTCGCCCCACTCCTCTCAAGAGTAGGGAAGAATGTTTTCCCTTTGCAGAGCATTACTATGCTTGGATATCTGCTTCCCTTCTTCCAGAAGGACTGACATGATCCCACCACGTGGAGAGAAAGTTATTCTAAAAGAATGCGAGATGTAATCCTCCTGCTAGGAGGGCTGAGAGGAGTTGTTCAGAGAGGAACACTGACTGTTCTTAACCTTAGTGAGGTTGAATGTGTACCTCTGTTGAGAAAGCAGTAACTTCCAAGATATTCAGGCTAGCATTTTCAGAAGTGTCTATTCAGGAGGAGCCCTTTCCTCTGACCTGCCCCGCTTGAGACCCCTAAGTGTCCCTGGGTATCCGCACCCACGCTGCCCGGCTGCAGTGGGGGCCCAAGGTGTCTCAAGCAGAGCAGCTAGTCTAACTGGACACATTTGAAAACCTAGCTTTCCTAGGAGTGTCATAATGGGTTCTATAATATTTGTAGACTGTACTGAGCATGCTCTGAAAATGGTTAAACCATAACTCAAACTATGTAGAGGAAATTCCTCAGGATGTCTTGCTCACAAAGTCAAAGTACTGTTTGTGAGGTTCAGGATATGTATGCCTTTTATAAAGGCAAAAGCTAATTTTTATATCCTTATAGGAAAGAAAGTTACGGCTGTGTTGTCCATTTTACAAGAAATATTTATGAAAGTCTTTCATGAAAGGCAGGTGTACAAATTATATTTACTCTTTGGTACCCTACAACCAGGGAAGAATGTGAATCCATTACTGTCCTTGGAGGATGATATGACATGTGTGAACTGCACCAATTGTATAACCTGTTCCAGAAATTACCATGAACTTCAGAAACTGCAGAAACTTTTAACAATAAAAAAATAAATAAAAATCTAGTTAATAAATCCAGCAAGTTATTCTTTCTTGAGTAGTTCGCGTAGCTGATTTCCCTGTGGTCCCTGGGGTTAAAGGACATGAGACAAAGATTTCAGTAAAGTAAAGATATTCAGAGTTGGTACTTAATTGCCTCACCAGTTTTGCATCCCTTGGGAACCCCTGCAATGCTGTTTTCCACATCAGAGAATACATAGCTCCAAAATATCAAGCCCTAGCTCTCTCAATGCAAGACAAAAATAGAGGCATGCCTAACCATCCATTCTTTGGAAATTTACAGCTGAGAGACTTGTCAAGAAAGGTCACAGCAAGGGCGAGTTCAGGAAAATTCATGCCTGACTCCCAAACATAGAAAGTACTTTTGATTAATAGATTAAGTTTGCCAAGGCACTTCACGTTGTATCTTACGATCTTGTAGCATGCATCCGAGTCCCCAAACAGTCTGAAATGCAGGGAATTTAAAACTAGTTTTTTGTCTCAAGGGGGTAGCTGCTCAATACGTATGTATGTGTGTGTGCATGTGTCTGTTCAAGGCACGAGTCAGCACGGCGAATGTCAAAAGCAGCGTTGCCCTTGGTAGCTGTTGCTCGGGTAAGGCTGCGGGGGATCGGAGGGGGATACGGGGCGGGATACGGGGCGGAGCATGGCGGCCCTGGGCACGGGCTCTGTGCCGGCACGGCCAGCCCCTCGCAACGTCCCTTCGCCCCTCGGGGGTCTCGTCTGCCCACCCGTGAGCTGCCGGGGCACTTCCAGCCCCACCCGCGGTCGCGGCGACCCTCCTGCCGGCGTGGGGCAGCTCCAGCCTCATTCGCATAATCTATGCGCCAGCCTTGCTTAGTATGCAGATGTATGCGCATACATTTGCATGCCGATGAGGCCGGGCGACGACTGGGTCGCGTTCAAAATGGCGGAGCGGGGCGGGCGAGGTAGCGGCGGTCACGGCAGTTTAGACAAGAGCATCACCCTCCCACCCGACGAAATCTTTCGGAACCTGGAGAACGCGAAGCGCTTCGCCATTGACATCGGTAACCGTGCGGGCACAGCGGGCAGGGTGGGGGGCGGCCGGCGGGGAGCGGGCGGCGATCGAGGAACGGGCGGCGGCTCTCGCCCACTGAGGGGACTCGCCGGGGCCGGGCAGCCTGCCGGCCGCGGGGCACGCTGGGAAAAGCAGTCCCCCGAGGCGCCCCGGCCGGCGCGGGATGCTGAGGGCACACTACAGCTACCGACAGGCAGCGCGGCGACGGGGCGGCGCGGGGTTCGACGGGACTGGGAGTCCTGGCAGCCGGCGGCGGCGCGGCGCGGGCGGTGAGCGGCACTACAAGCCCCGCCATGCCGTGCGCCGCCCTCTAACGGGCCGCCGAGGGAACCGGCTCGGGGACAGCCCGGGGCCGTCCTTGGCGGCGACTAGGCGAGGCAACCGGGCGGGCCGAGGCGGCCACCCGGAACGGGCAGGGAGTTGTGCTGGCCGAAGGGGAAAGGAGCCCGCGCCCCTCCCAACCCCAGCGGCGGGGCCTGGGGGCTGCGCAGCGACCTCGAGTGAGAGGACGATGCGGTGGCAGCGGGGCGGCAGCTCTAGGCCCGATGGGGGATCAGCGCTGAGGATTTCCCCCCCATAGCCGGGCGCCGCGGGAGCCCCTCCATGCTCCCGAACCGAGCCTCGAAAAGAAGAAAGAGGGCTGAGGAAAGCTGTTCCACCCGCCTTAGCAGAGCGGGGTGTCTGCAGGGATGAGGGGGCTTGGTGCGGGCTGGGGGCCTGGAAGAGCAGCTGGCTGCACTCGCTTCCTCAGCCACCCCCCAGAAACACCCCGTGCCCTGCACCTAAGCATGCAACATTCCTGGGTGCACCACAGCCTGCACCAGGGAGTCACACAAAAAGCAGCACCTGGGCACCCAGGAGGGAATTGTCCAGGTGTGGGGGGGCCGTACTGGGACACAGCTGAGCTGCAGCTGTTGACAACGATTTCACCTGTGCTGGAATTAGCATTCATTCTGTGGAGATTTGCAGAACCCAAAGTGCCAGTTCACACATTTTTGTTTTGCAGTTACTAGGTCAGTGGAACTATTTAGTACAAAAGCCAGAAGAAAAGCGTTCTTCAGCCAGTGCAAGCCTCCCTCAGGCCTCTGCTTAACACAGCTCTGGGTGTTCTAGGCTTACTGTGAAAGGGGAAGAATATATGCACCATAACATATCACAAGTCTACGTAACTCCAGAAGCTACTTGTTTCATGCATGTTAAAATAACAGCTGGAATTGGTCCTTTCTATGGGTCAGAGTGGAATTAGAGTTGTGGGATTAGTTATAAAGCCTAGTTACATGTCTCAGCTGGTGTTCTGAATGGATTTAAGTATTTAAAAAAACTAGGAGAGGATGTATAAAGCACAGCTTTACATACCATTTATCTGCTGATAAATTAATTGCTGAAGCACCTGTATCATTATTAGTACAAACAGTATGACATACCAACACAAGCTTCATGAGTCCTCTACTTAGAGATTTGGAAGAAAGCTTTTTCTCATAGCACAGAACTACTGAGTTCAGTTTTTAAAAGCTAAGAAAAAAAAAAAAATCTCACCTTTAAGCAGCAAGCTAGCAGAACAGAGGTTGGATTTTGTTTACCATAAACTTTAAAGCATTGGCTAGTACACTGAAATAATATCTGAGGTCAGGAAAGCTGTAGTGCTTTTGTTACTCTAAGTGTCTGTCAGCAATCACTCTAAGTTGACCTCATTTAAATTTTGCTGGTGAAAGCTGCTTATTTTTTCCTACAGGTTGCAAAAATTTTCCTGTTTATTTGAGCACTATGGAAGAGATAAGAGTATCATTATGAAGGCAAAGCAATAAGCACTAGCTGATTATTTTTTACTTGCACATGCTGCATTTCTTGATTACACTTGTTTACAAGGCAGCAGAATGTAGGGCCATTGAATTTAGCCATTATGTTATGATCTAACATTGCCAGGTTTTTATTTACTGGTGAGACTTTAATTTTAACCCAGTATTTCGTCATAATTACTTACTGTCTTATACACAGCATACTCTACAAGATACATGGTAAACTTGCTGAAAGGGGTAACCTGCCAAATCTTTGGCAAGAGGCAAATGAATGCAAACTTAAATTTATCTACACATGAGGCCTGTAGCACCAAGAGATACAGAGACTGCCTTGTGCTCCTGTTCTGTGAGCATCAATGCATAGTTAAAAGTGACTTTCTGTATAGATAAGGGTGGTTTACCCCTGCAGCCCAGGGCACTTCTTATGTAGAGTTAGTTTTAAAGGTTTTTCTCCCAACAGCCAAAGCAGCTTAGAGGTTTATGAAGCAAACCAATGCCTTAATCAGATCCTGATACTCAGGAGTGGTTGAAGAGGCATTTTTTCTTTCTGAAGAGGAAAAAGTATTAAAAGCTTGTTTCAACAAAGATAAACAGTCTTTAACAGCCTCCTACTTTCAGGCTCAAATATCTGCTTGATTAAGGCAGCAGAGGTATATCAGAAGCATCAGCAGGTACTGCTTTGTCCTAAGGAAAATCAGTTAGAGAAGTTACTCAGTTTAACTTCATAAATTCACTTTTGCAGGTCAGGTGCAAAGACAGCACAGACAGGGCAAGTGGTTAAGTTCTGTTTCAAGATGCGAGTTGCTAGTTTTATTGCCTTGATGTAAGCAGACTAAAGGCCTGAAGAGAAGAGGGTGATAAGGCTGGTCTGCTTAGACTTGCATGCTTGAGGAATACAATTCTAAGTGTTCTTCACTCCAAAGCCAAAAATAATCTTGCATAATAGTTATTCAGTACATAGAGTCATCTTCTAACCAGCTATGAGTTTGTAGCTTGTCCTTGAAAGCAAGTTGAGAATATTTACTTAAGTGTTCCTGATGAAGCACTTTTTGATTGTGCGCATGGCATGCATTGGTCAGTTGTAACAAACCTCCTTATAAAATCCCTCTTGTAAGCAGCAGACTTGGGGGTGTTTTGAGGAGTTTTCATAGTGATACATGCACTAGCCTAGCCAGTTAAGAACTTCCTCTTATATCCGCTCATCTTCAGTCATC